TTGTAAACTTCCGCTTGTAAACTTCCGTTTGTAAACTTCTGTTGTAACTTCTATGTGTAACGAAAACTTTCCAACCCCCAAAAGCAACCCAACAAACATTTTTATAACCATACGTCAGGCAATGGAATATATGAGCCTATTTGTCTATGAAGAAGATAGGGAATTGCTTTCTGTGAGCAGAAAGATGTATTAACGTCCGGTACGATACTTCTATGTGAACTTTGCAACCGCAACCAGCAATGACACAAACTGAAAGAACCATCATAAATATGATTCAAACGAGTGAGCTATTGCATGCAAACCTAATCTAGATGACGTAAAGATATTAGCCTACCTTACTGCCAAACTTGAAACCGCTTTTGAAGATGGTTGTACATTAGTGACTGAAGGTAATTACTTTTGTAAACTTCTTTTTGTGAACTGAACAATCACAAATACATATTTCGACAAACGATATTCCAGCCAGATGTTACTAAAATTAATAGAGCAAGGCCAGATTGTGATTATTAGAGAAGGGAGATTACTTTCAACCGTTTTGGAAGCAAATTTGAAACGGTTCAAAGTTACCCGCCCAAGGAAAATCCTTTTTGTGAACTTCCTCTTGTGCACTCACCAACCACAAACACAAATTTCACCAAGCAGTATTTCAACCACATGTTAATGAAATTGATAAATCAAGGTCAGATTGTGATGATAAGAGAAGGGACATTACTTTCGACACTATATGAAGCAAATTAGAGGAGGTTGAAAATTAGCCGCCGAAGGAAATTCCTTTTTGTAAACTTCTTTTTGTAAGCTTTTCAACCACAAACAGATATTTCCACAAGCAGTATTTCAACTACATGTTATTCAAATTGATAGATCCAATTCACATTCTGATGATAAGAGAAGGGAGATTACTTTCCACACTATTTGAAGCAAATTGGAGGAGAGTTGAAGATTAGCCGCCCAAGGAAATCCTTTTTGTAAACTTTGCAACCACAAAGAGGAAAGAGGTCATAACACAAACAAAAGTTTCTCACTCTGAATCTAATCCAAAGGGCTGTTATGGTACATGGCGTGTATTCAGGGGTTCGGAATGTTGGTGTTCTACCTCTTGTGGGTAAGTGCGGCTTCGTCGTCACCTGATATTACGTAAGTTATATAGTTGTCTGAGGCAATACTTTAAGATAACTTAATATCTTTTCCCGTGAGGGAACTGACAAATGAGAGTCGTCCAGTTTTGTCGCTGACTAGAAAAAAGGTTGGAAAAGTAACTTAATTGGGAATAGCTTTTCCAGCTGAAGTACCGACTGAGATATATCAATTAGTACAAACATAGGATATTACCTTTATTCCCATTTTCAGTGTTTGCATCTAGTACCGCGGATTAACCTCTATACATAGTTTAATTCCATATTCCATTTATTGATTATTAACAACCATTACACTACGCAGGCTCCTATTCCATCACGGAATAACATGAACAGGAATCGGGCAGCATCTGTGGCCCTTTTTGAAGTTAGTTGCATTAGCCGCAAAATTATCAACTTGTGTTTGTAAAAATCTTAACCACAAAAGCGAAGAGCAACCCCATATTTCAATCAGCAATAAAATGATACACATCGGCCGTGGCATTCCTCGAATCACGTATAACATTGCCCGTCACCCGCTACCTTGTTTTAATCATACTTTTGCACAGTTGCAAAAGTGGAAGGATCATCGGTAAATGGGAATGATACAGTTAGTAAAGCAACAGTATTAGTCTCCTGTATAGTTGTACGTTGGTTGCTACATAGATAGTATCCGGTGGCCAAAATGGATAGCACTATCTGAAGTTCTATATAGAGAGTGATTCATAAACTTCCCTTTCCTGTTTTGTGAACTATAAAACCACAAAAGCAAAGTTCAAACTAACAGCTTTCAATCATCATACGAAGAACGCTGGCAGCCAAATTCTCTACATCTTGTAGAGCATTAGTCATAGCTTAGGTTGAAATATCAAAGGGTTTTGCTGTTTATTTAAGCATAAGTTGAACCTCTTAGGAACATATTTTCAGTTCTATTGCAAGATATATGTATGATGAGATACATAATTCTGGATAAACCAATAAATATAGTCATGGAATCAGCTGTAGATTAGATCTTACAACCACAAATACTTAGAACCATAGACACAATACCAAATGGAGAAAGAGTACTTGGAATACAGCCCATAGTACATTTACATTCTTAAAATGAAAATACTTAACAAAATATGAAATTCAAAAGTTCCCATTGTGGAGACTTCATAAATTTTGGAAATACTAGAATTCTTTTGTGGTTGGTAGCTTTGATAGAAACCCCTCTTTTCAAATACGCCTTAGTTTTATTTTGTGTATGAACTTTTTTGTGGTTGTGTAACTGTAATAGTACATTATGTGGTATACAAATTTGGTTGCAAATTCTTTGTGGTTGCAAAAAATTCTCAAGTATAAATAGACCTGGAAATCCCCTAGAATTGAATTTTTTTGTTTTCTTCTTTTCTCTTTTTCTTTTTCTTTTCTTCTTTCATTAATTATCTCTTTCCACATTATCACATCTTTCTTTCAATCATTTCATTACTCATTCATCTACTACTTATGTCGTCTATAATATTGTTTTGTCTACTAACTTTTGCCTCATATTCATCTATTCATAGGTTGTTCATTCTTTTATCCATTCATTAATTTGTTCCTGTCACAGATAGTTTCTTCTTATTCCATTCATTTTTTAGTTCATTCAGTCAATCAGTCAATCATTGTATCCCACATTCTATACTTCATTTGTCTTCCTTCATCCATTCATCCATCCTTCTTCACTTATTTCTCATATTATTCCATCTAACCAGCCATCTGCCACCAACTGAGTTCAAAATATAACGTTTCAACTGCATTGTTCTTGATGCTTTTCTCAAAATATTGGATGGTATGGTACAACCTTTTCAACCCTTGCAGCTTCTCTTTGTTGGACTAAGTAGCTCGAAATATCATGGCATTGAAGGATGGAGACAATCAAGGAAGGGACAATGACTTCCTGACTGAATGAGCTAACGATGGACCACAGAAGGAGCTAATCTGTGAAGGAATAGATGAATGGGTAAAAGACATGGATATGATGCAGTATGGGGCATGTAGTGTAGGCAGGGGAGCAGGGGCCCAGGGCAGGCAGGGGCCCAGGGCAGGCAGGGACCCAGGGCAGGCAGGGGCCCAGGGCAGGCAGGGGCCCAGGGCAGGGGGCCCAGGGGGATCCGGGCAGGGCATGTGGTGTACGTCGTGGAAACTATGATGCCCAAGCCGGTTAATTCACCAAGCTTCATATTCGTAAACTTCCATGTGTCAACTTCCATTTGTCAACTACCATTTGTAAACTTCCGTTAGTAACCTTCTCTTTGTGAACTCCTGTTTGTAAACTTCAATTTGTAAACTTCTATCTGTAAACTGTACACTTCTTTTTGTAAACTGTGAAACTTCTTTTTGTAAACTTGCCACCACAAAGAAAAATTCCAACAGCCTGTATTCCGGACCAGATGTTAATCAAATTGATAGATCAAGCTCAGGTTGTAATTATAAGAGAAGAGAGATTAGTTTCCACCCTATTTGAAGCAAATTGGAAGAGGGTTGAAAATTAGCCGCCGAAAAAAATCCTGTTTGTAAACTTCTTTTTGTAAACTTTACAACCACAAATAGATATTTCAACAAGCTGTATTTCAACCACATGATAATTAAATCGATACATCGACGTCAGAATGTGATGACAAGAGAAGGGAGATTACATTCCACCCTATTTGAAGCAAATTGGAGGAGGGTCCAAAATTAGCCGCCCACAGAAATTTCTTTTTGTAAACTTGTGTTTGTAAACATCATAACCACAAAAACATAGTTCAAACCCAGATTTCAATTGCCAATAGAATTAAAAGCACTAGCGGTGGGATCCCCTGAATCACTTAGAACATTGCCAGTAGCTTGTGTTGCAATATTAAAGGGTTCAAGTTTAGCTGACACCCTTATAGAACCACCTATGAGGAAATTTTCACAAATGTGACAAATCCTTAGTTTCTTTTCACAAAATTGATATATATTATTAGATAAATGATAAGATAGACCAATGGATATAGTCTCCCTTAACTAGACCTAGTGGGAGGGTCGAATTGAAGTCAAATTAGATTGTGATCACATGATATAATTCACATGACTTTCACGTGCATTTGGTTTTGTGCTACTTCTGTCACGTGTTTCATATCACATGATTTGCACGTGAAATGCCGTGACCGCCCAATTCGTTAAGGCTTTTTGATGCACCTTGCGATGATATGGCACAGTTAGTTAGAATGTGGACCACAAATTCTGTCTTTTTTTTTGGGAATTTAAAGGTCTAATGTTCGAGCTCCAGACTAGACCAAAGGAAATTTTTCATGAAAACCTCCATCAAGACCATTGGTTTTGATGATATGTATTATTACAATAGGAATGATGAAAGATGGGACAAGTATTCTATAAGATGGGGCAATTCTGGTAGCCGAAAACATCCTGAATGACCATATGCAATTGGTAGCTCCATTTTGAATAATTTTTACGCGTCAGTCACGTGCCTGATTTTCTAAATTTTCTTCTTTTGATGAAAAATGTAAACAAATAAAATAAAATCAATCAAATTAAATGATTTTAAATTTAAATCTTTTCCTTTGAGTATCTATTCAAGCCTACTTAAATAATGCCAGTGAATAGTTATCTACTAGGCTCTCCAGGTCAGAGACCTCAACAAGAATTTTCTCCAATAGGAAAATCACATGCCGGACAATTTCATGTATTAACACTGTACCCATCAAGTAGGGATAGTACAACCAATCGAAGTCAACAACGAAGTATATTTAAACTTTTCAAAAAACCCGAGAATTTCAGCTATGATAATGATGAGAGTTTGTTTGATGATACTCTTCATAGTGAACAATATGATGACGATATTGATATGCGCTCTCCCATAAAGCCTTTAGAATCGCAAAGGCAGACATCCGGTCAACATCATAAACTAGATGATGTTGGTGGTATTTCACAAGGAAATGAAGAAAGAATACGGCAATTACATGCGGAGAATTATCTGTTGAAATTGAAATTTATGGAATTAAGAGAATATGTAGAAGGATTACCCAGGTCTCAACAAGAGTTAATGTTGGAGAATGTTGATTTGAAAGGTGAAATGACGACTATTAAAGAGAAACTTGACCAGATCATGAAAGAGAATATAATCTTGAAAGAAAGACGTGGTACGTCTCCAGCGAGAGTTTCTACTCCACCGCCTGCTAATAATACAGCTGAAATTCAAGGGTTGAGACTGGAAATTGATAATTTACACCATAACTTAGATATCAAATCACATGAATTACGAGGAATGAATTCCAAATTGGAAGAATATCAACAGATGATAAACGAGCGTGATCAGCAGTTAGCAAAGCTTAAATCAGATCGGAATCAAATTAAAGATTTACCAGCCCAATATGAACATGTTATCAAGGAATTAGAAGAAGATATTGCCCATCTCAAAACCCAAACCAACATCGATAAACAGCAAGTTTCTGAATTGGTTGGTCAGCTAAGAAACTCGGAGCAAATGGTTGATCAGCTACGCTCAGAGCTTGATAAGAATAAATCTGGACAATCTCATCTTGTTGACGAGAGAAATCATTTGTTGGCAACTGAAAAGGAATATAATTCTAAAATCACTGATTTGCAACGACAATTACGAGATAAATTAGATCTTGAACAAATCTTAAAATCCAAGAATAATGAATTAGAAAATAAATTATCCCAACGAAATCAAGAAATCAAGCAATTGGATGAGAAGATTATTTCAAAAACCAAGACAATTGCGGATCTTGAAGGGGAGATTGAAGAAGTGAAGTTTTCAACGAGAATGAATTCTAATCAACAAACACAAGAATTGAAACTTGAATTAGAAAGGAAAAATAACGAAATCACTAGTCTCAAATCTAAGATCAATGAATTGAAGGATAAGAATGGAGATGAGATTAAACTTCATAAATCAAAAATCCGTGATCTTTCTCATCAACTTGAATTAAAAGGTGAAGAAATAATTAATCTTCAACGAAAACTAAAATCAGTGGAAAATACATATGATTCGGAAGTTTTAGATAAATTCAAATTTTATGAAATTGAATATGAAAAAATCGAACAAGAATTACATTCCAAGAAAGAAGAACTTATCGAATACAAAAATAAACTAAATCAAATCAAACATGAACGTGATCAAGCTATAGACAAACATGAAGTATTACAAAGGGAGAAAAATAATAATATTCACCGGTTGGAAAGCTTACAAGGAGGAACTGAGAAACTTGAACATACAATCTCGAATCTCAAGAGATCGAACGCTGAACTTGAACGAGAGAATCATATTTTGGAAGGACAGATTTATAGTTTGAAATCTGATGTGAAAGATCTTAAGGAGAGACATCAACGGGAACAAGAAAGCTCAAACAAGATTTTAGATAGTAAGATTAGATCACTTCAGGCTGAGAATGAGGATTTACAAGATGAAATTGTAAATTTGAAGAGTGTTCAACAACAACTCGATAATGAGATCCGTAGGGTTAGAAGACTTTCCGAATCTGGAGAAAGCAAAGATGAGGAATTGAATGAATTACATAATGATAATATTGAACTAGCTAAACAGGTTGAAACACTTAAACGATTAAACCAAAGTGCGAATTGGGATATTTCAGATCTCATGGCTGAGATTAGTGTTCATAAAGCTGAGATTGATAGGTTACTTTCCATAAAGAGTAGAGGTGAAGTGCATGTTGGTGAATATGAGTTGAAGTTGGAGATTTCCAAATTAAGAGAAGAGCTTGGTCAGAGTGAACGATATATTGAAAAATTAGAAAACGATCTTCAATTGAAAGCAAGACAATATAAAGAAAACAAATTATATTCTGATGATTTGGAACTTGAACTTAAGAAAGCAAAATCATTAATTGGTAGTTATGAGGATAATATCACGATGTTGAAAAATGAAATTCAAGACTTGGAGACTTTGAATAAGTCTTCTAGTAAAGAATCACTAGGTGAAGCTATTAAGGAAATAAAAGCTAAGCATGCGGAACAGAAGGCGGAAGAATTATCACAGAAATTAGATTTGAGTCAGAAAGAAATAGAAACCCTCAACGAGACAATTAAGAGTATTGAACGGGATATTCGGACTCTAACTGAGGAGAATTCCAGTTTAAGAACCCAAAACCAATCTGTACAGTTTGAAAAGAATCTGCTTGAGAACAATGCAAAGAAATTAGAACAAGATTTAGAAGTCATGACAAAAAGTTATAAAAAGATGGCATTGAAGGCTCGTGATCTTCGTCAAGTCTCCGGTAAAAGAGGAAAATTATATGATGATCTTAAATCAGAGGTTTTGAACAATGAAATGACGTATCTCAAAATGACACTCACAGATGTCGTTCAAACAAAGGACGATCTTGAAACTATTAATGCATTTATGACTGATTCTATAAACAAATCCAATAACCTATCACAAAATAACAATGCAAACTTAGCTAAACTCGGTATATATCCTGAATATGTTGGATCAATGAAGTTCCATAGGCTGCGGGGAAATCAGTTGACATTTAAATCCTTAGCGACATTTGTATTGGCAGCTGTTCGGATAAAGAGGCGAGGTGAAAGGGCAAGGAAACGGATTAATAAGTTATTGGACCTCAGAGATGACGTCAATCGTGGTAAATCAGAACTAGGTATGTAGACTCTTTTATGTGTAATAATCAATGACAATTTCTAATTTTTTAACTTAATTATCTCACAATTCTAGAAATTGGAGTTTGGAAATTCTTATCAGATAATTGACGAACTCTTCCTGATCTTGGAGTTTCTAATGGTTGTTGTTGTTGTTGTTGCTGTGGGTGAGACTGATCTCCTAAGGTGGGATTATTAATTGAACTACTTCTCATATTAAGAAAAGTATTATTTGAAGATCCCATTAAATCAGATGTAGAATTACCAGTGATATCTCCATGATGGAAACCCATTATACTATCACTTAAATTACCAGGTGATGATTCATTGATATGAACAGCAGGTAATAAATTATAACCATTTGATAGGAAATCAGCCAATGATAAATCACTGGCAATATCTTCAGCATAAGCAATTGGAGGTACCATCGTCTTATCTTTAATCCTGGATGTAGTCAGTGGTGATGGTTCTATGAATGTTTCTTGAAGACGTAAATCAGACCAAATCTTTTCCTTTAAGTGTCGATTCTTTAATACTTTTGATCCAAAGATTGGAGTTGGTTGATACATGACATCATCATCTTCTTCTTCATCTAAAAACAACTGAGGATATTGATTTGATGTTGCCTCTATTAAAGTTTGAGTTTCAATATCATCAAATGGAATTGGTTCTTCTCTCCATCTTTCCATATACAATACTTTATTAGCATTGTCTAAATGAACATATGAAAACACACCATCCCTCATCACTTAAAACTTTCCCCCTAAAATTACTTTGAGAAAGGATAGGTAATCACTTTAGGTCAATAGTTCTGTTGATAATTGTTTTTTTCAAGTCTGTCGGATTTATTGTCGCGACAGATGTCCACTATCAAACCTCCCTATATATCTAATTACTGCCCTAGGGTAATGTAAATCAGGCAAGAGAGAGCACCAGTGTAAATGACATATGTCGATGTAATGTTGATAATAATATACAGACGTCTTTAATAAAACTAAAATTACATACATAAGCTCTTGTTTATACAATTAATTTACTATCTAATAAACTTGTTTTAACCAACAGTTGATATTGCTGTTGATGACACTTCACTAAATGATTCAAATAAAGTTGGTTTTCTCTTTAATACTTTCTTATCATAATTAGATGACTTAACCAACTTGAAAGAACCAGTACCAATACTCATAGTTTGTCCCAAGATAATACATTCAGAAACACCTTCAATCTTATCATTCTTCATAAAGAATGCAGCATCAAATAAATGATCAGTTGTCTTTTCAAATGATGCCAATTGTAATACTGAATCTCTCATCTTACTTAATCCAAATCTTGTAATACCCAATACTTCACCTTTATAAGTCATAACATCACCCAATAATTGAATATGACGAGGATCAACACTCATACCATGATTACTCATAGTATAATCAATTTCTTTAATAATTGAACTTCTAGCAGCTTCAATACCCAAGATTTCAAAGACTTCTAAGACATGATTGGTAGTAGTTTTTGTACCTACAACACCTTCAGTACTCATAACTTCTTTTAATCCATATCCTTCAACCAATAATTCCTTTTTACCATCATCTCTAATATTAATAACTGCTCTGAAAATGTTTGATAAACCTTTAATACAAATACCAGGTAATGCACGTTTTAATTGTTGCATTCTAAAGAATAATGCATTCTTATTATCTGTTTGGGCTTTCAGAGTTTCAGCTTTAGTTTCTCTTATATTAACCAAAACATTAATTCTGTCTTTCCCACTAACTGAAACATCACCAGGTAAAATCTTTAATTTTGGTGCATTTTGAATTGCTTGAACAATATTATCGATTGTTAATTCCAATTGCAATTTATCAATTGTTTCCAAATCGATTTTAATAGATAAATATGCAAGGTTATCCTTATATACATCTTCAATAAAGAATGCAACGTCTTCTAAAAGTGTCTTTTCAATTCTTCCCTTGGCTACACGAGCAGCAATTTCATCATCATCATTAACCAATACAGAATTAATAATTGGAGTCGAAATGGTTTTGGAAGCATTAATAATTTCTTTAATACGTGGAACCCCTAAAGTAACATTCATCGATGCAACCCCAGCAAAATGGAAAGTCTTTAATGTCATTTGTGTACCTGGTTCACCAATAGATTGGGCACCAATTGCACCAACTGCAGTACCTGGTTCTACTCTTGCTCTTGAATATTTATAAAGGCATTGCTCTAAAAACTTGTCAATAGTAGTTGAAGAAAGTTTTAATAATTGATTGACTGCGTTAAGTTTGATTTCATCGTCGGTATCCTCATCAGTGATAATAAAGTCTTCTGATGGCTTGATGAAGTATGCTTTCAATCCTCTAGATTCTCTAATTCTAGCTAAGCTTTCTGCTTTCTTAGATATAAAATCACGTATAGATTGATAGAAATCTCTTTCGGCATCTTTTTGATCAATATATGCAATATCATCTTGATTCTCTTCATTCAATGCATTCCCCAAATTATCATATCTAACTAACTTATTCTCCAATGGCATCAAAATAGAATCAACCAATTCTAATACTTGATAAGGTAATAATCCCGATTCATTTACATCATAAGTCAAATTAAACGCATGATCCCATTGTCTATTAAAATTAACTGGTCTTGCATCTCCTTCCATATCATATGGATCCAATCCATCTCCACCATATGTGAATTGAACAATCCCGTTGGAAGAATTACGAACAGTATTATCATATTGTGAAGAAAGATCTTCCAAAGATTTCATTAATCTTCTAGACATATAACCGGTTTCAGCAGTCTTGACGGCAGTATCAACCAACCCTTCTCTACCAGAAATAGCATGGAATAAAAATTCAGGTGGCGTTAATCCACTATAGAATGAATTTCTTACGAAACCTTTAGATTGTGGAGTTTTGGAATTCTTAGTGAAATGTGGTAATGATCTATCTTGGAAACCATCAGGAACACGATGACCAGAAATAATTTGTTGACCGACAACCGCCACCATTTGGGAAACATTTAATGTGGAACCTTTGGACCCACAAGTAGCCATAATTAATGGAGCATTAAGGGAATCAAGTTCTCGAATACAAACTTCACCAACTTCTTCTCTAACTTTAGATAACAACCCCCCAATCTTAGCTTCTAAAGTTTGTTCTTCATTACAACCAGGTTGTGTTTCTAATTTTCCTCGATTATATAAATCAATTAATTCATCACACTTTAAATATGCTTTTTCAACCATTAATTCTTTCTTTTGTTTTAATTCCCATGCAGGTGTAACATCATTAATCCCAATTGAGAAACCTCGATTACCTAAATATCTTGCACATAATTTCGCCATTCTATTCATTGCTTCTGCTGCTTCTTTAGGACCATAATCTCGAAGAATAGTATAAAAGACAGAATGTTTCTTACCGTCACCAAGAGTTGATTTATCCATTAATCCTGATAAGATTTGTGAACCTCTAATAACCACAAATCCATCATTTGGAGACATTTCACTAGGGAGCCCCTTTGGAGGTGGGATGAAGGTTTTATTTTTGGCGTCAACATTAATAATCACATTTGAGTTTCTGTTTGGTTTGATTAATAATGAAAACACTTGTTTACCAGTCCAAAGCATTACTGGTTTGAAAATTGCTGGTGGTGGGATATCGAATTGAATATTTGCATCTGACATCATACTTAATAATTGACCCAATGATGCACGATCAAAAAATGAATCCTTATGAGAAATCAAATATGAACCAGTGATAAAATCTTGGGTAGCGGCAATAATTGGTTCACCTGATTTTGGAGTTAATAAATTATTCTTAACCCCCATTAAATTAATGGCTTCAGCTCTTGCTTCTTCAGTTTGTGGAACATGCAAATTCATTTCATCCCCATCGAAATCGGCATTATATGGAGTACATACACATTCATTCAATCTGAAAGTTCTCCAAGGACGGATTTTCGCATAATGGGATAAGATCGATAATCTATGTAATGAAGGTTGTCTATTAAACAAGACAACATCTCCATCTTCAATATGACGTTCTAATACATCCCCAATTTGTAAATTTTTAGCTAGTTTAGCTCTATCACCAAATCGTAAATTTCTTTTAGCCAATTCATTTTGTTTCATTAAATAATTAGCACCAGGATGAATATCAGGACCATTCATAATAAGACGTTGTAATTTCTTTCTGTTATATCTTGTACATTTTTCAGGATAAGTTAATACTTTTGCGACTCGATCAGGAACTGCAACTTCATCAATTCTTAAATTCGGATCTGGGGAAATAACAGTTCTACCTGAAAAATCAACTCTCTTCCCCGAAAGATTCCCTCTAAATCTACCTTGTTTCCCCTTTAATCTTTGACAGAACCCTCTAATTGGTTTGGATGATTTAGATCCAGCACCACCTGAAGATGGTAATAATGCCGGATTGGCAGAATCGGAATTAATATACATGGCGACTGATAATTGAAGATAATCCCATTGTTCCATCATATTATTAATTGAAATCCCCTTTTCAATCCCGGCTTTGATTAAGGAAGAAGTCCAGACAATTTCAGTTAATTTAACGGTTAAATCATCTTCATTGGATTGTGCATCCATCATAACTGATGGTCTAATACATACTGGTGGTGCGGGTAAATATCTCCAAATATACATTTCTGGTCTACCACCTCTGGCGGAATCTATACCGAATAATTCACAATCTGATGCTTTGATTTGTTTGAATAAGTTTAAGGTTTTCAAAGGGTTAAGATCATCATGAACTCTTTTGATAAATTTTTCCAATTCTGGATTCCGGGTGAATACTTGATCAAATTCTTGATCCCAAAATTCCTTTTCGGGGGTTGGTTTCTTACCTATCCATCTAAAAGTATCATGAACAATCTTAAACGCAGCTGGACCAGCACCACTGGCTGCCTTTTTAACCACTCCATTCACATGATTACATTCAAGACATCTTCTTTGTTTCTTACATTGATCCAATACTTTTCTTAAAATCTTCATTCTTCTTAAATTGTCAATATTTGGTTTTCTTAAATCAGATAAATATTGTCTCTTTGTAGGTTCATCTAACAATATAGCTGAACAATTCTTACAAATACATTGTAAAACTTGAATAATTGATTTAAAATATCCAACATGATAAACAGGAAGGGCTAATCGAATATGTCCAAAATGACCATGACAAGAAGCCAAGTTTCCCAGACACGTTTTACATTCCAGTGAATTGGATGAAATACCCATTTTGGGATCTAATGCTCCAAATTGTTTTGGTGTTCGACCTTTTTCTAAATCATATAAATCTCGGGTTTGAACTTCTACTTCGGATTGGGCAATGATATCTTTGGCAGATAGGGCACTGAACTCTAGGCCCTTGATACATTTGGGAGCGATATCTACCACTACTTCCTTCATCTTTAGGGTAGTTTTATGTGTATGAGTTGAATCCCACTTTGAGTCATGGGAAAGGGAGTAATCAAGATGAGTTTTGAAAAAAATTTAGATTTACGATGCCAATTGGGAAATTCTAGTCACGTGATTTGTTTTTTGTTTTTTTTCAACTGCCACTTTTTTCATTTCAATTAGACAGAGAACTAATTGCCACTGGCGGTAAATTCTTCAAATAGATATAGATATAGATAACCATACAACTCATAATGTCAGCAGCAACAGAAGCAACCAACGCAACCATAGATACAACCACAGAAGAAGAAGAAAAGAAGGTGATAAAGACATTAGAAGAAGATGATGAATTTGAAGATTTCCCAGAAGATTCTCAATGGAATGAAACTAATAAAATAAATCAACAAGATACTTTATGGGAAGAAGATTGGGATGATGATGATAATCAAGATAAATTCTCCCAGAAGTTAAGAGAAGAATTAAAGAAGTCTCAGAAACAGGTTTAGAGTATTATTATGTATATTTGTATAAATGGTAGCTAGCTATAATCTATGCATAGAAATTAACTGATTTTGATTTTCTTGCTTGAACTTCACCAATTGCTTCAACGAAATCTTCATGTTTAATAATTGATTTCCCATTTCTTAAAGCAATCATACCTGCTTCTACTGTAACTGCTTTCAATTGAGCACTATTGAATTCATCAGTAGATCTTGCCAATTCTCTCCAATTTATAGAATTAGTATCACAATGAAGTTTTCTTGCATGAATCTTCAATACTGATTCTCTTGCTTCTTCAGAAGGTAATGGGAATTCAATCTTTCTATCCAATCTCCCTGATCTTAATAATGCTGGATCTAAAGTATCAACTCTATTAGTTGCAGCTAATACTTTAACTCTATCATCAGATCCAAACCCATCTAATTGATTTAATAATTCCAACATTGTTCTTTGAACTTCTCTATCACCACTCTTATCACTATCAAATCTCTTAGTACCAATAGCGTCTAATTCATCAATAAAAATAATTGTTGGAGCTTTCTCCTTAGCTAAAGCAAAAGCATCTCGTACTAATTTTGCCCCATCCCCAATGAACATTTGTACTAATTGAGGAGCAGCCAATTTTAAAAATGTAGCCCCTGATTGAGCAGCACAAGCTCTTGCTAATAATGTTTTCCCGGTACCTGGGGGACCATACATCAATGCCCCCTTTGGTGGTTTAATACCTAAAGTTTGGAATTTCTCAGCTTGTTTCATAGGTAAGACTACCGCTTCAATTAATTCTTCAATTTGTTTATCTAAACCACCAATATCTGAATAATCTTCTGTTGGTTTTTCATCCACTTCCATAGCTTTAACTCTAGAATCATATTCTGAAGGTAATGTATCTAAAATAAGATATGAATCTTTATTAACCCCAATTAAATCATTTGGTTTCAATGTTGTAGGATCAACTAAACCAATCATGGGTAAGAAGATAGTTTGTCTAGTTGATGTTTTTATAACTGCTGATTTCCCAGCTCTTGCAGCATCAATATCAATATTTGCTCCTTGTTCAATTGCTTCTTTATCAACATCTAAATCTAATAATTCAACTACATTTCCAACTAAATAAGGTAATTGTTTATTATTGTTGATTTTCTCTTGATTATCTTTTATTCTATCTAACATCATTGTCTTTTCATGAGTTAAACGTTGTGATTCTGATCTCATTACTTTAATATCATTATCTAATAATTTCGTTCTATTGATTATATCAGAAGTTGAAGATTCTAAGATCTCATTGTCTATCATATCTTCTTCAACGTTGTTCTTTTCTAAATCTTCCAATGTCAGCATCTTTGTTTGTTTAATTGGGGGTGTTACTTATATATGTTTGCTAGCAATTCTATATAAGAATTGAAAATTGCCGCTGTTCTAATTCAAAGTGAATGGAAGAAAAAAAATTGAACTGGCAGATTTTTCAGTCACGTGATCATAATATTTTACTGTATACCAAGGTTGATACCATTACGGTAAAATCGTAATCTTACTTTCCATCAAATAAGATTAATCATCAGGTTGGTCTACATAGATCCTTCCTATTGTAGGGAGAGTCCTTCCGATTAGTTCTCATATAAAAAAATTGTAAGTGTACATTTATCGCTGATGTTGTTGAACAATGGGGAAGCCAATTCCAAGATTGATGACCAATTTATCTTGTCTCTTAACCTCCCTCTTCTTCTTTTCTTTAATTATAATAATAGTATACACAAGCAATGAAGATTCATAAAGATCATAAAGACTTCTCAGATGAAGAGTTTGAAAATCTTAAACAAGCAGTTATAAAAGGTATGTCCTTATTCAGTTCCATCAATCTCATAATCCCCATACTAATTATTTCTGTAGCAAAATCTTTATCATATTCTCCATATTCCAAATTTAGGTATGTGAAGCAATGCTCCATAAAACAATAGTCTAATTGTTTCTTATTTACTAACTATAAGATATATGTAGGGTTGGTTGTACAGTAGTTACAGAATCAGGTTTATTAATATCTGGCGCCAATATAGAAAATGCATCATATGGTGGAAGCATATGTGCTGAAAGAACAACTCTATCAAAAGCAATTGTACGTAGACCCCCTCCCTCCATTCTTTTCTGAAAGAAAACACTGTATATACTAACAATTCGATGTAGTTAGAAGGACATACTTCATTCAAAGCTATTGCTATATCAAGTGATCAACTTGATACTATCATCAGTCCATGTGGTATATGTAGACAATTCATTCGAGAGTTTACTCAAGATATTCCAATTTATATGTTTGGCAATGATAATGATGACAAATTTATTAAAGTTTATTTACTGGATTTATTACCATTAAGTTTTGGACCTGAAAATCTTCTTCATAGTTAGATAGCTTGTATATAGATTGGTACATAGTATCGCATAGATTTATCAATTACATCTATTACTAATCTCAAGACATCACCATCTCCTGTCTCAACCTCCTAAAAAAGAAACAAAAAAAAATTTTCAATTTAATTTGCATTTCCTTTTATCTCTACAAGACCAATCAGTAAAGGATAACAATGAGTGTATGTGCAGCTCCTACATGTGGTAAAGAAACCGACTCTCAATTAAAATGTCCTGTATGTTTAAAAGAAGGAATCTCCAATGTATTTTGTAATCAAAATTGTTTCCGTTCAAGTTGGACCAATCATAAATCAATTCATAAAGCAGAAGATGGTAATGAAGAATATAATCCATTTCCTAATTTTACCTTCTCGGGTGATTTAAGACCTCATTATCCATTGACTCCAAGAAGAGCAATTCCTAAACATATCAAATTACCTGATTATGCTGGTAATGGTAGACCAATTAGTGAGATTAAAAATGATCGATTAGGTAAAATCCCAGTATATAGTGGTAAAGATATTGACAAGATTAGAAAAGTGGCCAAGATATCAAGAGAAATTTTGGATATTACTGCCGGTCATATTAAACCTGGGATTACCACTGATGAATTAGATGCAATTTTACATAAAGAATGTATTAAAAGAAATGCATATCCTTCACCTTTGAATTATTATAATTTCCCTAAATCATTTTGTACTTCTATAAATGAAGTTATTTGTCATGGTATTCCCGATAAGACAAAATTACAAGATGGTGATATTATTAATTTAGATGTTACCATTTATTATTTAGGTTTCCATTCTGATCTTAATGAAACTTATTATGTTGGTGATAAAGCAAAAGCCAACCCCGATATTGTAAGATTGGTTGAAACAACAAGAGAAGCCCTTGACTTGGCTATTGCTTATGTGAAACCGGGAATTGCATTCAGAGAATTAGGTAATATAATTGAAGCCCATGCATCCAAAAACAATTGTTCAGTTGTAAGAACTTTCTGCGGACATGGCTGTGGAGAATTATTTCATTGTCAACCAAATATTCCTCATTATGCCAAGAATAAAGCTGTTGGTATAGCTAAGCCAGGTATGGTTTTCACTATTGAACCAATGCTTAATTTGGGAACTTATAAGGATTTACAATGGCCTGATAATTGGACGGCGGTTACACAAGATGGGAAACCATCGGCTCAATTCGAACATATGTTGTTGGTGACTGAAGATGGGGTTGAAGTATTGACTGCAAGAACAGAAACTTCTCCTGGTGGTCCAATACCTAGAATTTAGAGAGAGTAAATTACATATATAAATAGTATAAATATTGCATTGTTTATTTATTGTAATATCTCTTGATCGCTAATTAAATTATCAATTAATGTAGTTTCAATCTTGTTTAGACTATTGGTAAATACATCCATCTTTTTATTAATTACAAGACTACTTCTGTAATTACCATTAATTTCAAATACCCCATGATAAATGCTTAAGATTGGGAATTGTTGTTTTAAAATGATTAAACTTTGATGTAAATGTTTAAGGTACTTATAGCTATTTAATGTATTGGTTAATTCAAGTGTACCTGAATTATTAGACAGATTCAGTATACATAATTTCATAATTTCTCCAGTACAATCAAATAATCCCATTAATAAATCACTAATATCAATAAAGTCAATCTGTAGAGCATCCACTTGATTTAATAATTCCACGGGAATATCTTTATTGTTTAATAAGACAATAAATAGAATAACTTCAAAGTATTGTTCCTTCTCTCTCCCGTTATAGTCTTCTGATTTAATTAATAATTTTATAATATTAATTAACTTATCAAATTGTAATAATTGTTGATGTTTCAAGAAATAACCAAATGTCAAGAATTCAATTAATTCTTCAATTGAATTTGATATTGTACTTCTAAGATTCTTATTAGTGCCATACATTATATTCAATTGATATAATCTATTACTTATCGTTTCTAAATGCTTAAACATTTCATTCTTTATAGAATCATTAATACTTACTCCATTGGTTAAATCTAATCGATGTAAACTAAAGATTAATTTCTTAGAACAATTAGTAATATCTCTACCTATTCTTATAATTTGTTCTCTATCATCTTGTTTAGTATGAAGATATTCTCTTGCTGGTATAAATATCTCTTCTATAATATTCGTCATTGCCCCTTACTGCTACTCTATATCCATTGCCTTATAATAAAAGAGATGCCTTGGGATGCTAAGAATACGCGTCCGGGTAAAGTATTTTCAAATTTTTTTCTTCTGTCTTCTCAGTCAAAGCGTTGAAAAAAAATTGCCATTTGATGCAACAAAACTTATCACCAAAGCAAAGTATCTATCACTTCATCAAAGCAATAGCAAACAGTCATGTCCTCATCGATTCAATTGCTTAATCCTAAAGCAGAGTCATTAAGACGTGCCCAAGCATTACAAGTAAATATAGCTGCTGCTCAAGGACTTCAACAAGTGCTTGCATCTAATTTAGGTCCCAAGGGAACTTTGAAATTATTAGTTGATGGATCTGGTGGATTAAAATTAACAAAAGATGGGAAAGTCTTATTAAGTGAAATGCAAATCCAACATCCTACTGCTGTTATGATTGCAAGAGCGGCTACTGCACAAGATGAAATTACTGGTGATGGTACAACTACCGTGATTTTATTAGTTGGTGAATTATTAAAACAAGCTGAAAGATTTATTAGTGAAGGCGTACATCCAAGAGTTATTGTTGATGGATTTGAAATTGCAAGAGAAGAATCTTTGAAATATTTAGATGAATTTAAACAAATTCCTGACCTGTTTGATAGAGAGTTTCTTTTATCTATTGCCAGATCTTCTTTGGCTACCAAAGTTACTAATGAATTAGCTGATGTATTAACTCCAATTGTAACTGATGCTGTTTTAACTGTTAGAGGTGAAAATAATGACCGTAATTTCGATTTGCATATGATTGAAATCATGACTATGCAACATGGACATTCCAAAGAAACTGAATTAGTTAAAGGTTTAGTATTAGATCATGGTGCTCGTCATCCAGATATGCCAAGAAGAATCGAAAATGCTTATGTCCTTATCCTTAATGTCTCTTTGGAATATGAAAAAACTGAAGTTAATTCTGGATTCTTTTATTCTTCTGCTGAACAACGTGAAAAATTAGTTGCTTCAGAAAGAAAATTTGTTGATGATAAATTAAGAAAAATCATTGAATTAAAAAATGAAGTTTGTGATTTAAATAGTAACAAAGGATTCGTTATAATAAATCAAAAGGGGATTGATCCAATGTCTTTAGATGTATTAGCCAAAAATGGAATATTAGCTCTTAGAAGAGCAAAAAGAAGAAATATGGAAAGATTACAATTAGTTTGTGGTGGTGAAGCTCAAAATTCAGTTGATGATTTAACCCCAGATATCTTGGGTTTTAGTGGATTAGTTTATGAAAATAGTATTGGAGAAGATAAATTCACTTATATAACTGAAAATAAAGATCCAAAAGCTGCCACGATATTAATCAAAGGGTCAAATAACCATATATTACAACAAACTAAAGATGCAATTAGAGATGGATTAAGATCAGTTTCTAATGTTCTTAAAGATCAATCTATCTTACCAGGTGCAGGTGCATTCTATTTAAGTTGTAATCAACATTTATTACATTCCCCAGCAAGTAAATCCTTCCTCAAGGGGAAAAATAAATCTGGTATTAGAGCCTTTTCAGAAGCTTTACTTGTTATCCCTAAAACATTATCTTCGAATGCCGGATTGGATCAATTGGAAACTATTTCAAATTGTCAAGATGAAATTATGGAAGGTCATGTTGTTGGTGTGGACTTGAAGTCAGGAGAACCAATGGATCCTACCGTTGAAGGGATTTGGGATTCTTATAGAGTGGTTAGAAATGCCATTTCAGCAGCTACTGGAATTGCTTCTAATTTGTTATTATGTGATGAATTGTTGAAGGCAGGTAGATCCTCATTGAAGGAAGGTGGTCCAGGTGGTCCAGGCGGAGCACCTCCACAAGGTGGAATGCCTCCTGGTATGCCTCCAATGATGTAGGCGTACCATTTTGGATAGATAAATAGTGTAGTATACTAGCGCAAATTTCCGCAATAAAAAAGGTAGACTGATTAACTTAAAATCACGTACTGTAATTAATTAAATAATATTTTTTAATATTTATAAAAAATAATTTTTTTGAAAATAATAGTTTATTTTTTGTTTTCTGGAATACTTAGCGAGATCAACTTTCAAAAGCCAAAAGGGGATTTAATAGTATAGAACCCTCTTTCTAGTTGAAATAAGGATCCTTTTACAAACGTTTCTGGCCCGTTACCCATCCCCTCATTCTCTTAGCACCCTGTCCAAGAAGTCATTCACATCTTTTGCCCACCACATGATCTTGGTTAGTAGCCATTGACAAGACTAAATACTAAAAAATATTAGATTACCCTTTTAGAAAATATTATTATGATTGGTTCAAACATCTCTTCGGAAAAGAAATTGGTATTTATTCCCCCACACTATGTCCCACCATGAAAATTTAACCTCGACTGTTGAATCGGATATTTTGGCAAAGTGGAACATGATGGGGGCGGTATGCAAGAAAAGTGACATCAATGAATATGATTGGAGATTGTACATGTCATAAGTCGCTAAGCTACACTAGTCAGAGTAACCAAGAGGGAATGACCTTTCATTGACACAGTCATCAAGTTAAATCAAGAATCGCCTGAACAGCTTTTTTGAGGGAGTGCATGTGATTCATGTATGATGACTAATGACCTTCTTCCCCCATTAGTAATCCGCCCTTTAATTCAGGGTGACATAACCAGCAGACTGGGCGATTTCGGAAACGGGTGCAACATGACGTAATAGGGGATTTAATGAACTCATTTGTCTCCACCACTTAATTTTATAGAGGTGAGATACTTCGCTTATTTTGTTGGCGAATTTAAGATTGGGATTTGGTCAGGATGTGGGATGGGTTATAATTGGTCGAACGAAGACTTAGCACATTCTCCTCTTGGATCATTTGAAAGGATTGCAAAACAGATGAGAGTGTTTTCGAAAGGATTGAAAACAGTTGGAAGTCTTTAAAAAGTGACTTGAAATTTGTTGTTGGATGGTCCCTGAGTTAGATAAGATTCCGTGTAGACTAATTTCATTCGAGATTGAACAACCTGTCAGGTGATTTTCAATTATCTAGACAATGGGCTGGGTTTTGGTTAAGAATGTCCAGATTAAGAATTCATACATCTACAATATGTAGAGTGAGTTACATCGAACTCCAACTTCGAAATACTGTTTCATTCGCTAAGCACTTTCTAGAAATCAAACAATAGCATGCGAGAGAGGATATCTCTCATCAATTGAGGCTGGCTGGCTGGAAGAAGTTAAGGAGGATTTTAGGGATAACAACCAGGGACGAGTCCCGGTGGATGCACCAATTGTTATTCTAATATTTGTTTGACTAAATCCAAAGGGGTAAAAAAAGTCAACCAAAAAGAGCAATACTGGAGGCTATATACTCCACTCGGGTATCGTGACATCTCACATTTAAAGCAATTTGCGCCAGTAGCCTCTATAACAATTCAAGGTAAACAAATAGAGAATGGAGATTGGGGAATAGGAGAATGGAAACTGGGTTTAAGTTTAAATTTTGTTGTAAAGGACAACATCACGGGATGCAACTGAAATGGAATTGCTTGAAATTTCAAAATTTATGCTGTAGACTTTTCCTTTCTACGTTAGTCCATCTAAGTTATGTTCTCGCCTAGAACCTCTCAATGTAGGCTTAGACAGTCTGTTGAGCTTCTATATGTGCTATGCCTATCTCCAGCATCAAGCGCTAATACTGACCAGATTAAATCTTTCAACTAGTTATTTCCATACTTACAGTTTCTGCAGAGGCGATTAAGTCTCCGCCAGTTTCCCCCAGTTGATTCTTGCTGTTTTTGATATTCTTTGTATTCCTACTGTAGAAATTAATGTACATGTAATCTATCTTGCCTTTCGCAAACCTACCAGGAAAACCGCTGTCATATTAAGAGTGGCATAGAAGTTAGGGGAGCCCATTGGTAAGGCTAATTCATAAAAAGGGTTCCTCTATACCTTGCCACTTTGGCTGGGGAAATTAGTGAAAGGTGCTGCTGTATCACATCTAATTGAGCACTAAATTTTTCGATACAAAAAATACACAAAATTTTGCAACTATAGTAGTCAAATTTTTTAAAAACCCAGAAATACCCAAATCAATGAATGATACTTATACAAACAGATAAAGAGTTCATACAACTCTTATAAACATAGAGCCATCTTCTGAGTAGAATTCACACTTTTGTTTTACTAGTTTTGCTTTCAAATATTTCACATTCAAGTTAGAGAAATCATCATTGTCATAATAGCCAAGGGGAAAAAGAATACAAACCAGCCATTCTCAATGATCACAGTTTAAAAATGGGGTTGGATCATAACCTTGGGAAATTATTTATTGCATAGCCACCTAGTACAATTGTCTTCAAGATACTAAGTGCCAAGGAGTAAAATATAAACGATTTTGGCTTGTCTGTTGTAAGGAGAACAAGGATCTATGACTTGTATTGTTTTCTTTGTTTTCTGCCTTGGGCGGTTGCAAGTATTGCACAATCTGTCACAATAAATTTCGATACAATAAAATGCAATCAGTGACACATGTATTGTTTTATTGGCGAAACAATTAATAAAAAACTACAGAATTGATAATTACATATTTAAATTATATTTTTTAACAAATATTTTTTTAATGTTTTTTTGTTTTGATTATTATTTAGTTTAGTGATATTTTCTAAGGATTTCTTTTTTTTTTTTCCCGTACTATCAATATTATTCACCATTTGAATGTTACTCTTTATGATCTATAACTTAACTACCATTATATTTAACTTAAATTTCAACTTGAAAAATCAATTAAATAAAATAAATAACAACAAGAAAAACACGAATTTAAGAATAAAGAAAAAGAATTAAAATAAATAGCCGTTATGCGTTAATGCATTTATGCTTGAAATTCTAATATCCTAATGGTATTAAAGTTTTAGAACAAGGATTTTTGTGTGGTTTGAATACACTCGCCCAATTTTAGGTCATCCTACCTATCCCTAATAAAACCCCTCAACGCTTCTAGGATTAAGTACACAGTAAAAAAAATTAGAAATCATGCTTTCCCCCAATTTTCTTTGTATAAATATCACCTTTATCTTCCATTTATCATCAACTTTCCATAAACTTCTTAGTTCAAGAATTTATTTTTTTAGACCCTAACATACAATTCCCGAGGCAAATTAAAACTTAGAAAAAAGTCTTGATAGCCCCCAAAAAACCTTTTTGAAGAAAAAAAAAAGAAAAAAATAAACAAAAATTTCTAAAAAATAGAAGCTTTTTTTGTTTCTCGCAAATACGGCTAGATTTGAGATCTTACTTCCAATTAAGTATTTGCAATTTACAAAGATATTATCTTGATATCAATACATATTACAGACTACAATTAACGACTGCTTAAGCATCGAATATTGGATAACTGTTTGCATTTTTGATGAGTTTGTTGGAACCTCATTAATAAACAGGAGAAAAGGAAACGTCAACAAGAGCCCCCGCCCAACAACTTAACAAAGCATTCTATCAGCTAGTCGTTGACTAGAAAATCACCCAAATAGTTCATTCATTGTCCACTCCTTTAATTGAACTTGTATAATATTTGCATTTTATCTGGTCAAACTTATAACACATAGTATTACCCATGACCAGCTGGACATCACAAAGCTGGAGTGAAAGTAATCCAACCGAGGGCACTTCCAACTCCAATCAGGCAACTGCAACAGCATCTACAGCACTAGAGGTCAATACTACGAGCCAATTACAACCCACGACCCCAGATTCATATCCAACAACTTCAACTTCCACAAATGCAAATCAAACATATAGGTCAACACATCCATCATATCAACTAGGACCTATTCCATCATTGGCCCAAATGCAACATCGTGGAATGTATGCTGCACCTAGCTCAAGCTATCCAACATCAGAGCTAGAAAAACCAACCCAACCAATCCCCCCTTCATATCAACAATATCCTCCATCCTTGACATATTTCTCAGGAGACTTTTTTGGTGGTCCTGAATATGGCGGTAGTCAAATGAATTCAAACCCAAGTGTACCGCGACAACAACTGCATCATGGAATAATGCCGCCAGTTCCTGTACAACCATTCCAAGTACCAGAATATTCTATTCAACCAAATCCACCCCCAGAACAAACTTGGGATCAATTTGGATTACAAACTCAACACCAAGAACTGACAAGTAAAGGAACTATACGACCGTCTAAAGATGGAAAAAAGGCAGGTAAACGACTTAGTAGCAGAAGAAAGTCATCCACTGAGAATGGAAGTGATTCAAGTCCCAAGAGTAGTACTTCAGGTTCTCCAGGTGGAACACAACCAGTTAAGAAAAGATCACGGATGGGTTGTTTAACCTGTCGACAAAGAAAGAAGAGGTGTTGTGAAACTAGACCAAGATGTACTGAATGTTCAAGACTTAGATTGAAATGTACTTGGCCCAAACCGGGTATGGAACATAAAAATAAACCCAAGGATGCGAAGGATGAAGAAAATTATATTAATCATGAAATATATGGAAGGATTAAAGTATTAAGAGGAATTGTTGAATATAAAAGTAAGTAATCACTCTTTCAATTCTTTTGATTTCCAACATGTTGGTAAAAACCATAATTTTCAACCAGACATTTATTTAGGGGATGAAAGATCTCCTCAAAATTCAATTCAAAAATTAAGTTAATACAGAGGTCAATGGCTCATTAACTTTTCTTTATAGTATTATTAGTTTCTTTATTATTAGATGTAGATTATTGTATAGTTTTAATTTCATAAAAGTAGATTCATGCGTGAAGTGAATATATATACCTAACCCTCACAGGTTATTACCGGATTAGGAAGTCTACATTTTTTTTCTTGTTGGTTGGGTGGTTTGTTCTTTACAGTTTCAACAACACACATTTTTTTGTTGGTCCTTAAACTACTAGCGACGGAAGAGTATTCCAACTAACCGATACGACCAATCTTTTGACGCTAGCTCCTACAATGTCATCAATTGCGCCTTCGAATTTGCGAGATAGACAAATCGAGATCTTGGAGCATATGCTTCATTTAAATAAAGAAGGATCAGCCGATTTGACACTTGCTTCAAAAAGTGAAGAAATTATTTGGAAAGTTTTGGTATTGGATAATAAATCAAGAGGTGTAATATCTTCCGTATTAAGAGTGAATGATTTATTAAGATGTGGAATCACCGTCCATTCTTTAATCAATTCAAATAGATCTCCATTGCCTGACGTTCCTGTCATTTATTTTGTTGAACCAACAATTGAAAATATATTGCAAATTATTGATGATCTTAATCAAGATAAATATGATTCATTTTATATAAATTTTACCACTTCAATCAATAGAGAACTCTTGGAGGAATTTGCTAAGAAAGTTTCTGTTTCAGGAAAATCTTTCAAAATTAAACAAGTTTATGATCAATATCTTGATTTTATTGTTACTGAACCAAATTTATTTTCATTAAATTTACCTCGAATTTTCACAAGATTTAATACCGCTGGAACTGATGAAGATACAATTCATCAATTGGTCGATAGGATTGCTCAAGGTTTACTTTCAACTATTATAGCTATGGATACTGTCCCAGTAATACGGGCACAACAACATGGACCGGCAGAATTTGTAGCTTCTCAATTGGATTTGAAACTAAGAGACTACTTGAGCAATTCAAGAAATACTGGAGCCGGTAGTAGTCAATCGATACATCAGAGACCTGTTTTGATATTGTTGGATAGGAACTTTGATTTAACTTCGATGTTTTCCCATTCATGGATTTATCAATGTATGGTTAGTGATGTTTTCACATTACAAAGGAATACCATCAAGATTAGAAAATATACAAAGGAATCAACAGATCCATCTATAAAGAGTTATGATGTTGATCCTAGAGATTTCTTCTGGAATAAATATTCTCAATTACCATTTCCAGATGTGGTAGAGAATGCAGATGCCGAATTGAATGCTTATAAAAATGATGCAAAAGAAGTTACCAGTAAGACAGGTCTTAGTTCTTTACATGATATCGATCCAAATGCCAATGATACCGCCAATATCCAACAAGCAGTTGAGAAATTACCTGAATTGACTGCAAGAAAAGCAACTCTAGATATGCATATGGATATATTAGCAGCACTTATTAGTGAATTACAAGCTAAAACTTTGGATAAATTTTTCGAAATTGAACAAAATGCAAATGATCCCAAAGAATTGAAGGAATTCCTTGATTTATTGCCAATAGACAGTGAAAGAGATAGTTCCTCAGATAAATTGCGTACTTTAATTATATTGACATTAGTTGCTGATGTAGGGTCAGAGTATGTCTCTAAAGCCAAACAAATTTTTAGAGATAAATATCCCCATATTGACTTGTCAGCTCTTGATTATATTCTTAAATTCAAGGAAAATTCAAAGTTGGCCAACTTAACTTCGTTAAGTAATAGTGCATCACAAAAGAACTCTTATAACAATCAACAAGCAAACTTGAATTCATCGGCTCTTTTAAGTGGGTTATCATCGAAATTGTATGGATTAACTGAAGGTAGAATTTCAGAAGGATTAAGTTCTATAGCAACAAGAATAAAGAGTTTTATCCCAGAAAAGAAACAATTACCAATCACTAATATAATTGAAGCAATTATGGAACCAAATAATGCTTCGGCAAATTATGTTCAATTAACCGATGAATATTTATATTTGGATCCAAAATCAAGAGGGGGTCATTCAAAACCACCAAGAAGGCAATCCTATCAAGAAGCGTTTGTATTTGTTGTTGGAGGAGGTAACTATCTAGAATATCAAAACTTACAAGAATGGGCTTCTGAACCGGGGAAGTCACCCAGGAAAGTTGTATATGGAAGCACGGACATTATTTCTCCAACTGGCTTCATAGAAGAATGTAATGAGTTGGGCAAAAACTAGTTTTTAGAAGTGTATTTCTCTTTTATTAATACGATAATTATAGGAAAGATTGTTAGTTAACTCTACTTAAAGGAAGTTTTTATTTGATTCTAAAACTCTAATTGAACGACGAGAATCTAAGAATAATAATTCACATTCTTCGATGTCTTGAACATCTATTTCAGAACGTCCAGCAGTGGAACTGAGAACACCTGCAGGTGTTAATAATTGCAAGGCATAACGTAAAGAAATACGAAGTCCATGTTCAGCTACCTTTTCCAATGCTTCAGGGGTAATTGTTAATCCTTCTAATGCTGCACGTTTTGATATAATGATCTTAATTTCTTCTTGATTATATGGTAAAGTTCTCACAATCAAAAGCCTATCAATCAAATCAGGTGGACAACCATGTGGAGCTTTACGATCATCATCCGATCCCTTAACAGTGGTCAAACCTCTATTTGATGCCAATACCACAATTGGGGCAATGGTGCTTTCTAATGCTCTATTCAAATAGGTGAAAATTTCCATATCTAACATATTGACTTCGTCAATAAATAAAACACCTGGGATTAATTCTGCGACACCTTGATCAATATATTTGGATACAACCTTATTCACTTCAGTTCGTAATTTATCAGTAATTTCAGTTTTTCTTGGTTTCAAAAGTTGTCCCATCATAGACAAAACATCTTGTCCTCCTTGAGGTCTTGCATTGGCAACATCCAAATCATGTAAAGTGACATCTTGAACTATTTCTTTTTTCTTATGAACTTCTCCCTTTGGTAATGGAACATATTCTTCTGCTTCAAGATCGAATTCAGTGGCATAAGCATCAGATCTTCCTACTCTCTTAACAGCACCAGTATTTGCTTCAATATAAATGACATCACCAACTGTTACTCTTTCTTTTTGAATACTTTCGTAAATACTTGGATCTAATCTAAGACTCTTAGTACCCTTTGCTGTTTTTAAACCCACAACAACATGACTTATTGTTTTACCATAACCACCCAAAGGATTTTCAGCTTCTTCTGGAGTAAGATCAATCACTTCACCTTCATATACTTCTTTAATTTCCTTTATTCTTAACCCAATTGCTCTTCTGAAATTTTCCATTAATGCTGAAGTTTTCTTTACTTCTGCTGAATAAAGCTCTGATCCTACAATAGGACAAAATGGGACTTTTGGACCCAATTCTTGAGATATTGCCAATGCCAAAGCGGTTTTCCCCGTAGCTGGAGGTCCGGCAATTAATATAGCTTTCCCGGACATCTTCTTAGATTTGATCAAGTCGACGATAATCCCACATGCTTCTCTGGCATCTGTTTGACCAACAAATCCACCTTCGATATTTTTGGCAATTCCATGTTCGTTAAGTCCCAATCCTTTGATGTGAGTATGTGCTGCCGTTCTGCTTTCCCTTGCTTGGGTATCTTTAACTTCGCTTATTTGTACCATCTTCTTATTGGTTTGTAATTGACTCTCTATGGGTGATGCTTCCGTACGGTAGAATTGGTATGTTTTTTTTTCAAGCTTTTTGCCCTTTGAAAAATTCCATCCCAATGAGATTCTAATATGCAGGATATTTGAAATTTTCATTTATAACTGGTTATATTAGTAACATATCCGACTCTTACGAAATGAGAGAGAGAAGTTTCAAGAAGAAGTACAATACAGCAACTATCTATTAAGCTATTACTTTACTCTATTTACTAACCCTATTCGTCATCCGGAAGTTCCATCTCATCGTTAGGCTCTTTGGGCTCTTGTGATTCACTCCATTGGGTTACGTCATCAATATAACTCAATATAGTTTCTACGGATCGACTGTCTTTAGTACAATCTAAGGGCAAGAATTGAACCATTCCGAAATCGTCAACTAAATTGGCAATTAATTTGTTTAATTTGGCAAATTTAGGATTGAAACTGTCATCTTGTTTGCTTAATAGCAATGGATCCGGGTTTAAGAACTTCTTCAATTGCTTCTTACTATATTCGTCTTTCACTAAATCCACTTTAGATAATATATTGATGTGAGGCAATTCCAATAAGATCATAGCTGACATGGCACTTAAGGCTCCGGAGAAAAACTTTGAATTATCCACAATGAAAGGAGCTTCCAATAAATAGGTAGCACAAAGGTTAAAATTAAGTGATTGTTGTAAGTGTTTCACTATGGTTGGTAATACAGGGATATGGGTATATAACTCAATCTGACCAGGACAATCAAATATTAAATATTCATCATTATACTCCCCAATTTCTTCATCCAACCAATCCAAGTTATTCAATAAAAACTCAAAACAGTATATTAAACCCCCATTAGGACCTAGTTGCATTTCCTCCATTACATCTTGCAATGATATCAAATCTCGAATATCTATGGTAAATTCATATTCAGTTGGTTCTGCTGCTGGATCAAGATTTACTATGTGAGCACGACGTCCAGTGGTTTGCATATAAGATATTATAGAATTACAGAAAGTGGATTTACCAGCCCCTGCTGGCCCTAGTACCAATACACCTGTTCTTGACATGTTTCTATTTGAGATTGAGTGTCTTCTACCAAGAAGGAGAATTCAGAGAAATTTCGAGATGACCAGAATTGTTAAGAAGGCCCGCGAGGTCGTGTACTTTTTCCTAAAAAATTGTCTATCTAAAAGTTTAAAGTTTACTAACTTCTACACCAACAATCATCATAATCATTTTCAATTTGAATCATTACATCAATCGAAACACTTTCAAATATTCGTTCGCATTGTCTTTTGATAAAGGAACTATTCTCTCCTCGGTAGATTTGTATGTGGACGTAACCATTTATAGAATTTTCCGAATTTGGCCAAAATCGTGGAGTAGTAAATGATCGCACGCCTTTAATCTCTGAGATGTCATGTAAAGCCCCTCTAATTTGGTCTTCTCTCTTCTTGCCTATCTTCAAAAGTAAAGTCGATGCGGTTGACTTTATTAATGGGACCGCAGAAATGAAAATCATGAATGCAATTATTAACGAAGCAGTGGGATCAAATCCTTCCCATTGGAATATCCTCGTTAATATTGTGGAAATAACCACTCCCACTGAACCCAATGCATCTGCCAAAATATGTAAGAAGATTCCTCTCATGTTGTCATTCATGTGACCGTGTCCATGATCATCAGCATCATGGCCATCGTGCAGATGCTTATCATGGACCTCTTTGTCCTTGGGAACATTATCAATACTGTTGCTCTCAGAAGACGCGTGGGAATGTGAATGTGCATGTGAATGCGAGTGTGCGTGGGCTTGAGAATGCGAGTGTGAATGGGAATGGGAATGGGAATGACCGTGATTGAATGCAAAAATTCCTACCAAATTAACTAAAAGCCCCAAAATAGAAACAATAATCAATTCATTGGTTCTTTGTAAACGGATTGGATTAAATAATCTTCCTATTGCTTCGAACATGATTGATCCACTTATTCCAATTAAAAGAGTTCCATTGGTGAAACCAGCTAAAATTTCAAAATTGCGCAAGCCAAAGGGATATTTCCCATTTGGATCAATCTCGTGCTTTGAAAGAATCCCAGCAACCAATCCCAAGGCAAGAGACATACAATCTAGAGCCATGTGCAACGAGTCGGAAAGTAGTCCCAAGGATCTGGATCTGAAGGAATAAAGGAATTGTACGAACATAAAACTCAAATTTAAAAGCAAAAAATTGAATATTGCTCGGTTATCCTCATGACTTATCAACTGCCTTAATATTGAAGATGGCTTTTTGTATCCCTTACCAGTCTCCACGTTCAACAGACTTTCAAATCGTGGCTTAATGATTAATGTTAAAGCACTGTTAATACCTTGTTCAATCAGGAGGCCCTGTCCCGAAACGATGTATTCAAACACGGTGGATAGAACTGCCACAATCAAGGGATTGAACCGATTCTTCTTGATATCGATTTCCTGGGATGCTATAAGAAACACTGCCCAACTAGCCAAATTCACGCCGAGAATACTAAGGCTTATGTATTCTCGCTTATAGAATATAATAGTAAAGCCAGTCACAAAGGCAATACCAAACAAAACGGACTTCGACACATTCATCAAAATTAAGTTTAAGGATGCAGCTTTCAACTTCCTTATCATAATGTAGAACCCAATGATGAGCAATGCATACGCTGAAATTATTCTAATTATTGCACTCTGGTCGCCTCTATACTTGTAGCAGTCTCCAGTGAACGAAAATATCGTATAAAGATTCCACGGGTCTAAAACCAATCCAATGCATAACAAAGCTGCCCTAGTAAACAGCAAATATGATGAGGAAAATTGTATCAAAAATGCACCAGTCAATAATGTAAGAGTTGTAAACACGTTAGATTTTGATCCTGTACCTTCCTGGCCACTGCCGGGATTTGTCAGTAGGAAAATTGAAAGCCTAGTGAAAAATGTAGCAATTAGTATAAATGCAGATGAAAGGAAAACATTCAATAGTATGCTAGTTCCAATATTTCCGGAGTCAATACTGGATGTAGCATTCAAGTGATGGGACAAGAATATAATTGGATACGCCAGAAGCAAAGGTAGGGAACCCAAAAATGTCGAAAGCAAGGACGCCTGGTTGGTGGAGTTGGTATTCGATGGTTCGTCGACGGAATCACTAGTACTGAGGGGAGGTACTAAGTAAGAATTGTTCGGGAGACCATAGCTCGAAGTATATGGATTATCTAAATCTTGGGTAGACTCCATTGGTTGATTAGTACGCTGAAACTTATTGATTTTCTCTGATCCACTGATGGTTGGAGGTTGTTCTGGTCGAGTGTCGATATTTCATATTCAGGAATGAGAAAGCCGCCGGCACACACGAAAAAAAAACCTACTAATTCTGTACAATAATTAAAATTAATTCTATTTAAAAACATCTAAAAGTTTATACTACATTAATACTACTGTTTCTACACTTAGTTATTGGTAGAGACTCCCATATTGCTTATGTAACTGATGGCATCATTCTTCATTCTTTCTTTGGTTTTATTGCTCCAATGCAATTCTTTGGCCATGATGTCAACTACACCGTCAACAGCAGTCAATGCCTCTTTGGCATTTAAGAACGCCAATCTTGTTCTTCTAGCTAAGAAATCTACTGGTGTTCTGACATATTCATATTTAAGAGCGTATTTCAATTCAGCAATTGTGAATGGTTCTTCAAATCTCTTATAATTCAAATAGTTTTCTGGAGAAGAAGTTGATTGCGAAGGGTTAAATGATTTGGCACTAGCTAATGATACTGGTAACTTGTTGTAATCATTAGCCCTATATAATTCCAAAATCAATGGAGATCTGGATCCATAATTATTTGCCAAGTGATTAGCTAATTTCAAAGGAATCCTGTATTCATGAATTAATCTTGCAGCGTAATTTTTTGAATAATCTTCACCACCAGCTAAAATCAATTTATTGGTTTGGCAAGGTTTGAATTGTTTCCCATCGAAGTCAAAGTTCTTAATTACATGATCCACGGTTTGTTCTGCCATTTCACGATACGTTGTCCACTTCCCACCAGAAATAGTTACCAAACCGGAAGGTGATTGAGTAAGCAAATGAGAACGAACTATACCTTCTGTAGAACCCTCATTCTCTTCTGTAACAGTAGCTGGGTCTCTTACTAAAGGTCTAATACCGGACCAGGCAGATAACACGTCCTCTCTTTTGACTGGGAATGAAATATACTTTTGAAGCTCTTTCAAGATATCTTGAATTTCAGCTTCAGTGGGAACAGGATGTTCAGGAACACTCTTCAATGCTGTATCGGTAGTACCAGCAAGTACCTTTCCTTGCCATGGCAAAAAGAACATAACACGACCATCAGAAGGAGATGGGTCCAACAAACCAACTTCATCGGAACAGTAATATTCAGGTAAAACAATATGGACCCCGGAAGAAGGGACAACCATTCTTGGCTTACGCTCTTCCTTTGGAGGCAATCCTTGTGGGTGTTCATCCATTTCTAAAATCTTATCAGCGAATGGACCGGTAGCGTTCACAACTGAGGTAGCTTTGATTTCATAAATTTCATTGGTTTCTAAATCTTGAGCTTTAACACCCACAACTTTACCAGAATCATCCTTTAACAACTGATTAACTTGGAAATAGTTCAAAACGGTTGCCCCATTTTCAATCGCAGTAATTGCCAATGTCGAGTTCATTCTTGCATCATTAAAAGTACCATCATGATAAATACAACTTGCCTTTAAGTTGGAGCTATCCAACATAGGAGCAATTGCAGTGGTAATTTCTTTGGAAAATATGGTAGAGGAACGCAAATTTTGATAGCCGGCAAACCAATCATACATTTTGCACCCAGCAAAGAAATATGGAATCTGCCACCACGTGTATACAGGAATCATAATTGGTAGTATTCCACACAAATGAGGTGCTGTTCTTAACATGTTTGCTCTTTCATTCAAAGCTTCTATAACTAAATCTAATTGTGCTTTGGACAAACCGAAAATAGCTTTTTCCAAATAACGGACACCACCATGTGCCATTTTAGTTGATTTGGAAGAAGTACCTGAAGCAAAATCTTCTTTTTCTAAAAGACACACATTCATTCCACGTGTCACAGCATCAAGTACAGTACCTGAACCTACTGCTCCACCTCCGATAATCAACATATCGAATTTCTTCGTGGTTTTTAAATTCTCTACTAATGCATCACGAGATGGTGGGGCCCCCAAAGACTTCTGTAATGGCTTGTATGAAGTAACTAATTCCGGTGGGTTAGCTGGTTTGATGAAATCCAAGTATACCACAGTCCCTCCAAGGATCGCCCCAGTAGCAATAGCCGTTTTAGCTAAAGCTGACCTTAAAATTCTTGACATGATTCTCTGTAGATCTGGGAAATTACGTTAACCACTGATTCTAGACTTCTATGTTTTTAGGTAGAAATGTCAAAGTACAAGTTGGTTCTTCTTGGGAAAGCAAGTTTGGGTATTGTGTCACCAAAATTGTACGCTTGTGGTGGGTTCAGATGAGAAATAAGTCGAAAGTAAATGGATGATTATTTATATCCATCTTGAAACTCCAACGGCTTTTTAATTTGCCCTGTGATTATTTTTTTTCAGATTCTCTTTCTTTGTCTCGGGTCACTGCAGAAAAATATTTTTTAGAAAAAAACAATAAATTCTGGACATTTTGTACATTTTTCTTTCCGAGAATTAAATGTTTATATTATTCTATTGTTCTATATTTTAATTAGGGCGGAGGTAGATACTGGAGAGGAAATGTGGTTATTGGGGTATTATTTATTCTAATTTGAGAATCAAGAGTTTAAGTAGCTACGTGGTTAATTCAACAATAAACAGCAAGAATTTTTGGTAGACAAACTGGCAAAATAGATCAAGGCACTTCAGTGAACGGCACAGCTAGGTAGAAGCACCTGAGACGCAGTTTCTCTTTCCCTTATAAGACTGCTGAGTTTGCTGGGATATATTTGATGACATTTTACTTTACTTCTTCGAAGAAAATAAGTTCATTGATATTTGCCAAGCCATTGATTGCAAAGTTGACATGATCTGACGCCAATTGACTTCTCATCTGCCAAGGTTCCCCGCTTTGCTTGCCCCTCGCACCGTTCGAAAAAAATTAGCCTAGAGAACAATGAATAACGGTGACCCCGGTATTGTTTTGAAGTAAAATGTGGTCTCCCGTGGAGTTTTCTCGATATTGATGTATGGCTAATGGCTAGAAACGATATTTGGTGTGATGCAGAATCGCATATTTTTCCCAGCTCCCACGAACCTGATCTGTTTCCCCTATCGAATTCCGATGTAGCCCACGGCTTTATTGCGAAAAGCAATACATCGAAGGCTTGAAACAATAGAAAGATATGATCAACACTCGACCAATTAAATCTCAATGGACACAAAGATTAACTTGGAATTTGAACTAATGCATGGACTAAATTACCGTTGAGAGATTCTTGGTTGACTTTTAGCGATTGTTCGGACTCTTAGTTCAGCTCCTCATCGTCTTCAAACGCAGTGAAATAGGTCTATTAGAATAGTTAACTCGTAACAAGAAGATACTCCTGAAGACTCGAACACAAATTAAGACCATTTTACTACCCAGAAAGTCAAGTGGGCATCTGCTGGCGGGGCTTGAATAGACAAAGTACGGAGTTATGAAGTAATTTCCGCAACTTTAAAGTTTACTTTTGTGTTCGTTTCTTCATATAATATCATCTCAAGACATAACAGTTTAGGCGAGATAGTACTCTCCACAAGATTTCTTTTGATCAACGAAGCAATTGAAATTTTAACTGCAATTTGTGTGCCTCGTTATTAGTTTCCGTAGGAAAAGTTTACATAAAATGACGATTCGATTAGACTACGACAGCAAGCTTTAACAAATATGAAGACAAATTCGATTACTATCTAATTAATAGGAATAAAAGAATAAACATTGTAGTATGCGAGGAAAGTACCTTGAAATCGAAACCCAAATTAAACCTTGTAAATTTCGATGATTTTTCGCCAAATTCTGTTATAAAAATACATTGAAAAAGAATCAAAACTGGTAGAAGAAATGTAAACCTTTTGACTTAGAGACGAATACCTCTTTTCACAATTTTGCTGTCAATATCTTAGGATTTCAAGAAGGCAAGTAAATGCTTGCAGATATCTTCATAGCAATCTCCATAGCCGGACATTACTTCACTAGTTAAGGGATCTCACTAATAAAGGTTCCCAAATACCTGAGCAGAACTTTGCATCCGTCTACGTTCAAAGTACTAGCTACTTTATTGGTAGTAGGAACATCGGCTAAACGTTCCAAAAATGGGTTCCAATAAGAAGTATTGGGAAATCTCGTAGGTATTTTAACTTTAAAAGAGAGGAGTAAATCTAGAAAACCTGAGATGTAGGTTCATTCCAGTTGATTTTTTTTTCTCCCATAATTATAATTCAGGGGCCAAATTTTATTCATACGTGGCAGACGTTGTCGTATAGAAACATTCCAAGTGTGCAAACAACCAGAAAAATGAATGTTCCTTCCGACAATGGAATTTCCCAAATAAGAATGCTTTACGGTACAAACATGCAAGTGATATAACAAGGGAAAATTCCATTTGATGGTGACAAAGAATTATTAGTTATTGAAATTACAGTTTAAATATATGAAGATAATGGGTAAATTGGTAACGTAATGAAATATTATATAAGTCGTAAGAATCCCAAGTTTATAATTGTTTATAGAATATGTAAATTATCGAAATAAATGAATACTTAAGTGAATTAGAAATCGATCAATCTATTGAATTGAGTCACATCCTCTAAAACCACTACTATCATAAATAACCGTGATCGAGTATGTCAGTGAATAACTCCCTTTCCCAATACTTAATTTAAGTGTTGAAGTGTACAAGTTGTGAATTTGTGAGAAAGTCGCATACTACACGACAGTACAAATTGGTGGTCCCTAACTTTTTTTTACGAACAATTGATCAAGCAATTGATCTTTAAAATATTAACATAGGGGGCATTTCATTGTTTATACAAGAGTAAAGGTTTTTACAGTTTGGTTACATACAGAGTGTATGATGACAAAAATATTAACCCACAAAAATAAATAATTGTTTGCTAAAGTCGACATTAGGAAATGGTTAAATGTAAATGTGGAGAAACTAGATTAAATCATCATTGTGATTAGCTACCACAAAAGGATGAAGAAAATAAATAAATTTATACCCACTAATATTAGTTTAAATTACCATTAGAATAGACGTATTCATATTATATTAATTGGTGAGAGTGTCACATGGGACCATACAAGAACGAATTGTCCAAAGTATACAAATTTGGTTATCCCAAACAGTCCAATAATAATTAATTAGATCATTATTATTTGTCTAAAGTGCACATGGGACCATACAATAACGATTGTCCAAAGGTGTATATAATTTGGTTATCCCACTAAATCTACTACTCACACAACAATAGTAGTTAATTAGATCACTATTATTGTTTTTATTTGTTGTTATTGAAATAATACAGTTCATGGAATATTATTGAAATAATATCATTACTAATCAATGTTGCCAGAAGCTGACTCAATCCAGTCCAAAGCGTTGCTAAGAAACTTAGTCTGGATGTAAATCATTGAAAATTAAATTACAAAGGATCCATTGTTAATCCTACAAAATCAAATATTATCTGAATCAGAAAATCGTAATTGCCACAACAACAATTGAAACTTTACGAAAAATTGAGACAAAAAATTTGCAACCAAATTTAAAATCCCTCAAAAGCTGCAAAATTTTCTATCCAAGAATACCATTAAATCCCTCACAATGATAGTCTAAAATTAGAATCAAGGGGCATGCATAAATCCTTTAGAATGGTTGCCAAAAATAAAGTGGAATGAAGGGATACAAATAATCTACCAAATCCTCCAAAAAAGAAAATTTATTAAAAATTTGTGAAGTTCAAAACGATTAATCAAACACACAACCAATCAATCAATTATTCATTTAAAACTCTACTACTATGTCTGCCAACAAATTAAATATTCCAAAAAAGAGAAATCAAAAAGTTGCCGACGATGAAAAGTCTAATCCTGTTTCTGACACTGAACAACCTGTTGGATCAAGTAGCACTGATCATCCTAGCGAATCAACTAAAGTTAAAGAAGAAACTCCGTGGGATATGAAAATGTTGTTTGAAAGAATATCTGCAGACATTTCTCACCAATTGAATGGATTCAAAGATGAACAAACCAAATTGATTGATGAAAAATTTTCTAAAATTGAAGGAACTCAAGCTGACATTCAGAATAAAATGTCTAAAATTGAGATGGAAGTTAAAGGACAAACAGTCATTCCCCCAGCTCCACTCATTGGTACCGTTACTAAAGTAACTGCATCACAAATTCAGGATCTCACATCAGTTGATGGGGCTACGCCTAGTCAACCAGATGCGGATTCATTCAATGAGTCGCATCCTCCTGGATCTGTACCAAATGAAAATGCTGTCCCAAATCAAACTGCAAATCAAGAAAGATTAGGTGCCGACTTATCTCTGTTATCTATTGATAACCCTACGGAAGGAAACACCACTTTAGATAAGTTAAGAATGCTTGCACGCATCCAGCAACCAAATCTTTCGATCCAAGAAATTGAACAATTGTCTTACATCACTGATCCAAATACGGAGATTGAAAAATTATTCACCAACTACCACGAAGAACTTCGTATCAAGAACCATCGTGATAATTTTGAAAACGAATGTGTTAGCAAGAATAATTCAAACCAATTACCTCCACCAGGTGTGAGTAATCATCAAGGGTTCTTAGATTGGGTACGTAATGTTATTCTCACAAAGAATACATACTTAATTCCTGACACTACTATAGTATTTAGGTTAAAGGAAAATGCTAATAAAGTCAAAGATTCCGATTTAAGTACAATTGTTTCTATTGCAACTGAACAACACGAAAAAGATAGAATCAATTCAATAGAATACAGAACTATATTACAGTACTTACATGCTCACATTGATTTATCACAACCTGGGTCTTATGCAAATATTGAAACATTAATCTCAAAAGGTAAGACTCCAGTTGCTGTATTCATTGGTGTTCGACATGTTGTCAACAAGAAACTCAACAACGGTGAATTGGACAATAAAGATTGGATCAATATCTGGCGTAAATTAGGAACAAAACTTCCATTAAATCTCAAAGTGATCATGAAACGAATGGCACAAGATGAGGATAGAGCTGATTTACAAGAGGTTACCAACTTATCTACAAAAAAAAGTGACAGTGAACTTGCTGATCAGTTACAGTCTATGAACTTTGTTGCAATTTGGAATAAGTTTGATAACGCCTTACAATCTTGCTTGAAGAGGCCAACAACACCTTGGAACAAAGCAGAATTAGCCAAATCAAATAGGTCCGAATCAACATCTACAACTGATCAAACCAACACTGAAGAATCTAAGGCTGAAACTAAGAAACGGTATTGTAGATTTTGTGGAAGTCTGAATCATGCACCAAGAGTTTGCAGCAACCAAACCTATTACTACAAAAATGGGAAGGTCAAGTTCAAAAATGGTAAATATCATGATGAAAATGACGTTGTATTGGAATTAGAACAAGGTGAATGCATAATGGCTAAATACCCTGATAAATTTCCAAAACGCAATGACGAAACCAAATCAGATAAAGCGAGGCATCGCGATTAATCAAATCAATGCAAACCCGGTTGACATATCACCCCAGAATGCCAAGAAAAGAGTGATTAATGATGACGATCAACCAAATAAGAATCTCAAATTAGAGAAACAAGATCCAAATGTTAAACATGAGGATGATATGAATATTGATTCAGAAGATGAGAATGATGAAAATTATGATCCAGAAACTGACAACAACAAAGCTGAAGATAAATTCAAGACCCCATCCAAAACGGCCATGGATAAAGAAGCCTTGGAATTGGAGAAGGAAGCTCAGGAACATCGACTACAACAATATTTAGAAGGTAGTGATGAGAATAGTTCAGTTCAAAATCAAGAAGATCATCATTCCAAAACCAATGAGCAATCAACATCTGCAGTGTCAGATAATCTGTCAAAGCAACAACGCGACAGCATCACTGGTAAATTTAAATCTGCTGATAACAAGAAACCTACTACAGAGCCAATCATTAAGACTATCAACCATTCAGACTATTTATTAGGTAAAGGTCCACGAAAAGCTAGAGCCTCACACTATCATATCAACCCACCTCACAAATCTGGTTTATATCTGCAAGTCCTCAAGAATAATACAACTGTTCAAATGTCCATTGAAACTTTATTCTCCATGTGTCCATCATTCCGAAAATTTGTTAATGCTCAAACGAAAGCCATCTTGATTCCCAGAGAAGGACCAATTAATGCTACTATTATACGGTCCAAAGATCAACCCAAAGATACTACCAAGAACAACTTGACTGAAGCGGAGGCACATACCATAACAATCCTTTCAGAAGCAGATGGCATTACCATTATGGACATGGAAGATGACAGTAAACAAATTGGTGCTGGCGAAGTATTAATTATAACACCGGATGAACAGATTGTAACCATTTCAGATTTGGAGAAGGAATTTGATTCAACAATTGATAGTTTGGAAGCTAATATTGCAATTTCGGATCGACGTGAAGCTCATGTTATTGGTGACCCAATATATATCAATGCAAAATTGAAAGGCAAGCCAATAAAACTAAAGTATGATACAGGTTGTATGGGCTCTTTAATCAATCCAGAAACATTGAAACGGTTAGGGTTAAAACTCAGTGAATTTCCTGCTGTTATTAAAGATGCAAATGGTGGTCAGAAGAAAGTCAATGGGATTATCAGAACGTTTGTTACTGTATATGGTCATGACCTCCCAATCGTATTGATTCCGCATGATCCCACTCCCATTGACCAGATATTATTAGGCCAGAACTTTTTAGAGCATCATAAAATGTTTGTAGGATACTTATCAAATGATGACAGTAGAAAACTAATCTTCAGTGATGGAAATAAGTTGAAAGCTTATCAATTAACAAATAATATTAATCAAATTGAAAATATTGAATTTACAATGCACGTTGAAACTGAAAATCAAATTGATGTTGAAGTACCACTGTATGAAATTAAGAATGTCTGTTTACACGCTAATCTGGGAGATATTACATTGGAACTAACCAAACCAACTATGCAAACGGATCTCAGTGAAATATTCAAGGAAGTTTTGAATGAATCGATTCTCAATGAACAAGGTAAGCAATATTTTTTGAAACAAGCTGAACCTTTTAAAGAGGTATTCTATGTTGAAGGAGGATCTCCAGGAAGATTGAATCCAGCAGTCCATCCACCAATCAAAATCAGATTGAAACCTCACAAACCATGGAAAATGAAAACCATTCCGTTGGGTAAGAATCGGCCATTAGCTATCCCTTTATTGAACTCCATGCTTCATCACAAACAGCTAGTACCATCCAATGCTCCTTATCGAAACTCGTGGTTTATCATCTTAAAGAAGAACAAACAGCCCAGAATGCTTTGTGATTTAAGACCACTCAATGAAAATGTCGAAGTAGAAGCTGCACATCCATTGAATACGGAAGACCTTACATCAGAGTTAGCTGGTCGAGCATTCAACACATTGATTGATGTGAAGAATGCATACTTCCAAATCCCATTAGATCCAGAAACTAGTGATGCAACCAGTTTTCTTACACCTCTTGGCTTATTGAAATATGCAGTGCTTCCTCAAGGTTTCACAAATAGTGTGTCCGAATTTCAGAACATTTTGGCATCTTTACTTAAGGATATTGCTGAAGACGTGTTTAATTTTATCGACGACATTGCGGTTAAAGGCCCATTGGTTGATGAATACAGACTGAACAAAACCCTTTGGAGAAATCACATTGATAAGGTCATTGTAGTATTTAAAATCTTACTGAATGCTGGGTTGAAGATAAATCCTCAGAAGTTGAAATTAGCTGTTGAAGTATCGGAATTTTTAGGTTATCGAATTAGTCCTGCAGGTAAAACCATCGTTGAACTGAAAGTTGAGAAACTCACGCAATATACAAAACCTACCAGTGCTAAACAACTCCAGAGTTGGTTAGGTCTAGTTAACTACTATCGTCAGTTGATCCCTGCTTTCTCAGAACTAACTTCACCACTATATCAGATAACTAAAGATCCAGATCAGAAACAACGAATTAGTTGGACAGCTGAATTATCACAACGATTTCATGAGATCAACAAATTATTAGCTTCAGAACCAATTCTCACTACCATTGATTACAATCAGATTATTTCACTTCATACAGATGCGTCAATTCATTCCTGGTCGGGTGTACTACAACAAACAGGCGATGATGATATTACTAGGTTAATTCAATGTCAATCAGGAAAATTCCATGCTGCTGAATGCCACTATACAATATGGGAAAAGGAACTCTTGGCTATCTTTAGGTCCCTTCATAGTTTCCACCACACATTGCTTGGTTATAAAGGCATAATTCATATTTTCTGCGACAATAAAGCCATTGAAGAATTATTATCACGTCCACTTACCAACAGCTATGCAGTCAACAGGCTCTATAAATGGTTAGTTTATATTAAAGGATTCAACTATCAAATCCATCACATTCCAGGTGACAAAAACGTCATTGCTGATGCTTTGACTCGGATGAATTATAATCAACCACCAAAATTGTCTTATCCATTAGATGAAGCCATTACACTGTTTAGACAACACCTCATCATTCCAGCATCAACCATGAATATTACAAACGACGAACCTAAATATCGTCAACTTGCTCTACGTGCAATTTACAACTATTTACAAACTTTGCAGGTTCCAACCATCTATGACAACGACAAGCGAAAAGCATTTATCCATAGGGCTCATGAATTTTACATTGATGAAGGTAGACTCTACAAGTATGGAAAGAATGGTCAAATGTCCAGATTAGTAGTGACTGATCCACAAGAGATTCAGAAACTTTTTCAATTAGTACATGATGGTCGGGGTCATATGAAGATATTCAATGCATTCAATATTCTAAATTCCCAATACTATATCGACCACTTATATCAACTACTCAACCAGTACATATCATCTTGTCCCACCTGCCAACAATATGATGGTGTTCCCAAACATTCAGATCCACTTTATATCAATTTACCGGCTGGTCTTTTTGAAGTTATTGTCTGTGATTGTGTCTATGTCCAAGATCAATACATGATTGTTGCTCGTGATGAATTTACCGGATGGGTTGAAGCAATCATTACTCCTGAATTAAATGGTGTTGTTGTTGCCCGATTCATTTATAATGAGATTATTTGTCGTGTAGGTATATTTAAGGTGTTCAAGACAGATCAAGGACCTGAATTTAAAAATAGCTTTGTCAAAACTTTACTAAATCGTGTTGGTGTACCAATGAAGTTTACTATTGCTGATCATCCACAAGCCAATGGTGTAGCTGAACGTAACCATCAACCACTCATCAATTTTTTCCGTAAATTACCACTGGGAATTGATCTTGCTGACGTCTTACCAACAGCTTTATGGGTTGACCGTACCAACATCCGCAGATCAACAGGTTATTCAGCACAATATTTAGTTTATGGGTTTCAAGGCCATTCACAATTATCCACCATTGTTAATCATGCACCACTCAAAACACAATATACCGAAGATGAATTATTCAAATTTAGATTCCAACAACTACAGGCACGAAATCAACAGCACATCACTGCCCAGTCTACAATCTCAAGAATCAGAACACAATCCAAAGAACACTATGATACAGTCCACAAGACAGATAACCCAATCAATGTTGGTGACCTTGTATTAGTATGGGAAAGATCTATAAAAAATGCACTAGGTAGCAAAACCAATAAAGGTATTCCAAGATGGTCTGGTCCATATAGAGTTAAATCCAAAGGTGATCGAGTGTACTCATTAGAAACCCTCAGTTCGGTACCATTAGCTAAAACATTTGCTCGTCAACACCTCAAATTATACATTGTTCGGAAACTGCTGGCAAATGATTCTGAAGGGGGAGCTGTCGTATAGAAACATTCCAAGTGTGCAAACAACCAGAAAAATGAATGTTCCTTCCGACAATGGAATTTCCCAAATAAGAATGCTTTACGGTACAAACATGCAAGTGATATAACAAGGGAAAATTCCATTTGATGGTGACAAAGAATTATTAGTTATTGAAATTACAGTTTAAATATATGAAGATAATGGGTAAATTGGTAACGTAATGAAATATTATATAAGTCGTAAGAATCCCAAGTTTATAATTGTTTATAGAATATGTAAATTATCGAAATAAATGAATACTTAAGTGAATTAGAAATCGATCAATCTATTGAATTGAGTCACATCCTCTAAAACCACTACTATCATAAATAACCGTGATCGAGTATGTCAGTGAATAACTCCCTTTCCCAATACTTAATTTAAGTGTTGAAGTGTACAAGTTGTGAATTTGTGAGAAAGTCGCATACTACACGACAGACGTGTCTATGAGTGAAAAAAAGACTTGGAAAAATGAAATTGTTGATTCCATACTTCCTTAGAAATTCATTTGGTTATGAGTGGAAATACATCAGCTTCTGGTGTTTTATTAAGATCCAACGGGGAAGAATTGTCTCATAGGGTTAAACGACACCCACAGGCACCTAGTGGGACATCGTTAACTGATTCTGACCTTGATGAAATAATCGAGAAGACGCTGAATTTAGATATCAACGGATCAGGCAACTTGAATAAACTATACCCCATATTCACACAATATATTACCCCTTTGATCCTTACAGCACTATCTGCATACGTGCGGTTATATCGAATCGAATTAGCAAATAGAGTAGTTTGGGATGAAGCTCATTTTGGACAATTTGGATCACATTATTTACAGCATGAAATGTATTTTGATGTTCATCCACCTTTAGGGAAACTATTAGTCGGGCTTTCTGGATATTTGGCCGGGTATGATGGGAAGTTTGATTTTAACAGTGGTAAAGACTATCCAGAAGACATGAATTATGTACTCATGAGAATATTTAATTGTGTCTTTGGGATTCTTTGCACTCCATTGGCCTACAAAACTTCCACATTGTTGGGCTTTAACCAGTTCACTTGTTGGTTTATAACTTTGCTGGTGATTTTTGAAATGCTCTCCCTAACGCTATCAAAATTTATATTGTTGGATTCAATGTTGCTTTTTTTTACGGTGTTTTCATTCTTCTGCTTGAGTAATCTCCACGTATTAAGAAATCAAAACAATTTGTTATCATCCAAAGGCATTAAATGGCTATTTATTACTGGAGTTTCCATTGGCTGCGTATGTTCGGTCAAATGGGTCGGATTATTTGTCACCTGTCTAATCGGATTGTACATAATATATGATTTAATAATAAAATTCTATCAAACAATATCTGTCAATGATAACATCACTTTGAGAGAATACATTACTCATTGGGTGGTCAGAATAATTGCTTTGATAGTTGTTCCAATTTCAATTTATATGGTTGTTTTTAAAATCCATTTTACTGTTTTAAATCATACGGGGCCCGACGATGGATCCATTTCAACTTTGTTGCAGGCATCTTTAAAAGGAAATGATCTTATCTCAGGCCCGCGAACAGTGGTATATGGCTCATTAGTAACAATAAGATCCCAAGGGTTATCACCGAGATTATTGCACTCTCATTTACACAACTATCCCGAAGGATCAGGCGAGCAGCAGGTAACAACATATGGTTTTAAAGACGAGAACAACGAATTTGTTTTTGAGTTCGATGTATCAACGGCAATGAGCGGGGTATCTGCAGGGAGGGACTGCTTGAACAACGAGACGGTTACCGAAACGACAGATTGTAGAAAACCCATACAAGATGGAGATACTATAAGGATACGCCACGGCCCCACTGGTCTCTATTTACACCCTAATGCACTTCCAGCTCCTGTTTCGAAGAGCCATTATGAGGTGTCTTGTTTTGGAGATTTAGCAACTAACGATTTCAGGGATGAATGGATAATTGAAGTACAAGCTCAAGATCAATCACCTTCGCCTTTATTCGCGAATGAGAGTATGGAAGAAGTACATCCGATATCGACAAATTTCAGATTAAGGCATAAACAGCTTGGATGTTATTTAGCAACTACTGGATTTTCGTATCCCGGATGGGGATTTAAACAAGGGGAAGTGGTTTGCAAGTATGCGTACTTTACAAGGGACAAAAATACTTGGTGGAATATTGAAAAACACGTGAACAGTCACCTTGATAAAGTGGAACAAGAATTTGTCCCTCCATCTCCTAGATTCTGGAAAGAATTTGTATTGCTTAATTATGGAATGATGGCGTCAAATAATGCCTTGGTGCCAGATCCCGACAGATATGACAAGCTTAGTTCTGAATGGTGGGAATGGCCAATATTGAAAACCGGATTGAGAATGTGTAGCTGGGGTGCAGACGATTTGAAATTCTTTTTAATGGGTAACCCCTTTGTAACTTGGCTCTCGTGTGTTTGCTTAGTTCTATTCATGATGTACATGTTGAAAATGTGTTTTGAGTACCAAAGACAAATTAGCGGACTTCATGTCTTTGATACTTCTTGGAATAATGTGATAGGTCAAGGAATTTTGCCATTTATTGGTTGGTGTCTTCATTATTTTCCTTTTATTATTATGGGGAGAGTAACGTACTTGCACCACTATGTGCCAGCTTTATATTTTGCAATCTTTGTTAGTGGCTTTGTGGTGGAGCAAATACAATCAAGATTTCCAAAATCAATACGATATTTGTTTTACTTGCTATTGTATGTTGGTGTCATTGGTACATTTTGGCATTTCCGAGCTTTCTCTTTCGGAATGGAAGGATCGGCAAAGAATTATCAACATTTGAAGCTATTGAAAACATGGTTAATCTAGGGACACTTTAGAGTAGGTGATAGAGTTCAATGAGTAGATAAGTTTATAGATTTCATCAAAATATATTCAAGACTATTTTTAGAAAATCATTTCCAACAAATTTCCAGCTTTTCAAGTATATATTATTAGCACACGATTTCGAATATCTTCCTGTTTCTCGGTCCAGGAATGTGTATATCAAACCTATAGAGACTCTTAACTTTGGAAAACCTAATGCCTACCTTAAAGTCGACCCGAAATACCACTGACGGTAATAATTGGACAAGTAAAACTCAATGATAATACCTTTATTTGACAATTTCGTTTAATTGGCATAATTTCGAAGAAGTATTTAAGCTGGTATAAACTTACATAGCTTCCTCTGATTGCAGCAATCAAGTTTGAAGTTCCTCCTTAAACTACAATGGCATATGGTAGTTGCAGTTCATAGGTCTATATAAACTTCTTGTTCCATCAATTGTATCAGCACTCGTAGTCCCTGTCAAATATCCATAGAAATGGCCCTCAAATGGGACACTATGTTGTGATATATTGAACCAGTACACGACTTTCTATACGAAAACTGGAATGTTAAAAACAAAATTCTAGCGATCGTTTTCAGTGTCTTTTTACTTCACAACAGCCATGACTAAACTTCCTCAAGAGGCTTCTAATAAGTTAATAAATTTGTTATATTCACGAATAGCTACGAAGGTTACTCCCCAGCTCCCAAAATTGCGGAACATTTTGTACGATGAAGTTAGTACTGTCCAAAACGATAAACTCTCGTCCAGTGATGTCACACCTGTTCAAAGAGTTTTGCAAACCCTTGGGCCAGAATTGATGACTTTAAAAGATAAAGAAGATGCTTTAAATAGAGTCAGACCCAAGATCACATCTAATATATTAAGATTAAAGTGTCCAAATTCCTATATTACTCGTGATGATTTCTCCAGAATCCTTCCAATGAGAAGAGAACAAACATATGTGCCGATAATGACGGATGGTTCATCACTTTCCATAAACGCTTTTGAGTTTCTTGCCGTCAAGGAAAGGAGCAACTTTGATTTGTCGTTTCAAAATGCCTACTACCTCATTTTTGCAAATCAATTGGACGCGTGTGTATATCTTGAGGAAACTAGGCATAGGGTTTTAAATGGCATTCGATTGAACTTTCAATTTGCCGAAATCACCGAAGATTCTTTGAAGAGAATAGTGCCAGAAACGCTATATTATGGAACTAAGAATTACAGTGCGTTAGTTGGTCTTTGCACATCGGTGAAATCAAATCAATATACCTCCGCTCCGTTTCAAAACTATGAATTGCTTAAAAACTTAGTTAATTTCGAACATAGGAGAAGATCGGTCTTGGTCCGAAATATGCCTCCAGGACTAACCCATAGTAGCTTGACGTCCGAGTTATGGAATATTAATTTGCATTACAACAAGCCGATAACCGTGGTTCGGAATGATTCGACCACGGAAAGCTCAGTATATTTGTTACACTTTACATCTATTGCATCTGCAGAGAATTTCGTTAATAGATATCACGGTAGGAACTGGGACAATTTTCCCGACCGAGAAAATGGACTTCACAACCCTGTGTTGTGCGAAATAATAGACGCATAAATACATTAGCATGCAATCCTGCAAAGCTTGATTAAGATACATCTTCATCTTGGTAAAGGAGAACTAAGCAATAAATGGGAAATCGAAGGAGGTATGTGTCTAGCGAAATTGAACATTAGAGGGGGCAGCCTGGAGTATTTGCATGGCTAATATAACTCCTCTCTTGGCTATTTCGGTTACCTATTCCAAGCATTCTAATTATCAATATTTTACTAGACCATTAACGTGTTAACGCGTCTCGCTATGCTTGTTGTGAAATAGACATTAGATCCAAATGCTGGATTCAAATTGATTAGTTATTAAGCACTTTGACTACGAAACAACCTAAGCATATATAAAGTAGGCTTCACGATACTAGTAATCGCTGTTCTCATGATAAGAGCCAGTAAGTTTGAATCAAGGAATGAAATAAGTATGCTAGTAACAAACCTAGAATGACACCACTCAACAATAACCATTGAAGCAGTGGCCTTGGCATCCCTTCTGTTTTATCTTAAAACATATATTTCCCCTATACACTAAATAGAACTATGTACGAGAATCATATGAACGTAAATATCTGACCAAAAGATACCGCGCTACTGGTAAACTCCAGGTTTCATGGATAACATAGATGCAATCTTGTAATAATCGATAGTATAATAGTGAATATTTGCAACTATCGGTTCTAATGATAAGACTGTATATCACGTATTAGATTTCGGAGCCAGTATAGCCACGCTAGGTTTGGAGAAGCCATCGGTATTTCCTAGTCTTCGTAACCCTGATCAACGGGACATTACCTAAGCCTTCGCTTAGATCTACACGTAATTTCCACTCTTTTGGGGCAACTCAATAAGAACAGGTTTTTCTGTATAGTTATCTCTAATTATAAATATAGTTTTCCTAATAGATATAAGAAAAAAAAATTCTCTCAAGTCATCCTGGGGTTCAGCGAAAACTGTGGAAAGTTCGGCCCATGAGCTCCTTCCTACGACCTTGCACTGTGTAGCCCCTTACACCAGCATCTACTAGAGACCTCAACCCTACAGTGAAGCTCGAGGTACCCGCCTGATTAGCCACCCACTTGATAGATCTCAGCCTCCCCACATGAGTTCAAGGAAGCCCAACGCCTCCCTGTCACGCGTCAACTGCTACCTCATAAACAACCCCCTGCCAGGCTCGATCAACTATTGATAGAAGCTCATTCTTTGCCTAGTGATTGCCAATGGGGTCGGTTCTCCTCTCCATGAACTATACCAGCCACACCCACCTGGTCGTTGACACAGGCCAGCTTGTTATGACAGCTTGTTATGAGAGACTTCAACGCGAGGTGACTTATCCTCTACATTTACGCTGACGGTGTCTGTGTCTTCTTGATCTGTGTGTACTTACACATAGCCAAAGCCATGAACTACAGGAGCTACTTGGCCGCAAGAGTGATTGGGTCAAAGGATCCATGGCCTTTGTCCGCACATAGCTATCCCTTCATGGGAAATTACATTGTCTATGGGCAGGTCCCACACTAACGGGCCACTGTCATCACGAACCTTCTAGGTGACGTCCCTTATCTCTCAGGTGGCTTCAGTGTGATTAAACAGACGATGCAGTGTTCCAACTACCCCTTCCCTTCATCCTAGCCGCCCTACTCTGTATTCATTTCATGGTCCAAGATACCTGGGTCCTCTAAAACCCTCGAAGTCACCGGTGACATCGACCTGCTGCGTATGCTGCTCCACTACTTCTTTGTGACCTTCGTCACCCTCTTCAAGTCTCCTACTATACGACCTCTTCACCCCCCCCCCTACACAAAATCCCCGGGGTACGCTCACTGAGGTCTCCCTGTATATTGCCTGAACCTTACCTCCTACCCCCCATCCTGAGATCCATTATATAAGCTTGGAAAAAGGGGGGGCGGTTTATCCTAAGCTTAGATCAGTCTCGGCGTCATCACTCACATTAACCTAGACCTGGATGAACGCTAACACCCTACGGGGACGAGTGAAGACCACTCAAATCGTAACACCAAGAGGACGAGTCTAGAGCTTCAAACAATGAGTCCAAGATAATGGGCGAGTGTACCACTCTCAGATCGCGTCCAGCACTTGTCAGACCTTCGGCTAGAAGTGTTAGACCAAACTGAGTCGAGAACATCCCACCAAGTTGGACTGGCCGCTTAGTATATATCTACGCGCTGGGGAGCCCGCACTTTTTACCCTCCATGCTGAGCCAGTGGCCACTCTTTTAATGTCCCCTTCCGGCCCCTGATTCCAGGAAAAAGCTAGAAACCTAGATGAAAAGTGACGTCGCTGTAAGACGAATGAGAGATAAAGAGAGAATCCCGACAAGAGTCCGAAACTCAAAGGACCCAGCATCAAGGCAGAAAGTGAGGGGATAGATCCCATTGCAACCACGCATATCAAGCATAGAGAATCCGCGCTGACGAAGTGGTAAATGACGTCAAGAACATCAGATGCTCCTAAGCACAAGAGCGCAGGAATATATTGTTCCCTCCATTGGAGACACATCCGAATATGCGATCAGAGCGGTCCTACTCTAGTGGCCTGGCGGTGCGCAGACAGAGGGAAACAAGAGCTAAAGCACACCCCCGACCAATAGGAGTAAAACATATGATCAGGGTGAGAAACCTACTCTGAAACAGCGTGGGTGTCAAAGATAAAGTGAGTTCCACCCTTACCATCCTGGGAATCTTAACAAATATGACACAGAATGGAGAGCCGGATACAAGAGTTCCCACAGGTAAAAGCACGACGCCCAGCTTTCATCTTTCCCATACAAGTCAACGGGCCTAGTGGTATTTATGCTTTAATACATATGACCTGATTCTTATCCTGTTGGTTGCAGACTCCGGCTTTGTCCCATCGGCTCTCCAGAATGCGGTTTTGTCCCATCCGATTTCGGTTTTGTCCTACCGGCTATATTCCAAAATAGGCAATAGCCGAAAAGGAACAATCCAACCGGTCAATACTATATTGGGCAGTCCCGCAATCGGATTTTGTGTAACGAACTGGTAATATGCAGGGGTGCAGTCCAGCATTAGCCAAACTTAAAAAATTTATCAATATTTGCAGGAAGCGTACAAAAAAATAATTTTTAAATAGCTGTTTTTATATGCCGGATCTGTGCGAAATTTCAATAAAGTTCATTTCCTCATACTAAATTTTACGAGTCTTAACTTTTTTTTCTTACGGCCGTATCGGGTTTGTGGCTTACCTTAAACCCGTCCATAAGGTTCCTACATGTAGTTTCATCCTACTCCGGTATCGGCGTCATTTGCTCCGTTTCCGGGTATTAATTCGACCGGTGTTAGACCCGTTTCCATGATAACTCCGGTTTCACAAACTAGATTTTGTGTTATTGTCAGTATAGTCACGACATTATTCCTAAATATGTTCGCTTTCATGGAAAAATGCGGACAGAAGACCCCATTAGTTCCGGTAAAATCCGAATGATCAAAATTCATTTCCACCTAGCGCTATGGGAGATGGAATCCTGATAAAGTGTTGGTATTATTTATAGCAACATAGTTTCTGATAATTTTGGCTTAGTTTTTAAATGAAATGCTGTTTTTCATCACTTTTTTGGTTGTACGTCGCCAACAAGAAGAAACAGTGTCTATAAAATATTTCAACGAACCAAACTTAAATTTACGCAAGTTGCCGAAGCTTTTGATATGTTTTTAAATACTTAGATGGGGTACCTTGCTGGAGACATACTAAGGGTGAAGAAGGAGAAAGCTAAAAGCATGAGTTTATTCGTAAAGACTAATGAGCTGGTATAAAGATCTGAAGGGGCCTTAGCTAGCACTTTTGCACGAGTAATACACGGTAGGCATAGCTCACCCAGGAGCTCAGAGAATACCACTAGCGCGTTATATATGTTTCCGAGGACACCTCTAAAAGACCACTATGAAGTGGTAGTGGACTTTTTCAAGTCAAGAAGAACAACCCTAGTATATGCGTCACCAATATCCAATAGAAGACGCAGGCTTTTTTTGAATCGCTTAGACGGAGGGAGTACAGCGTCATCCCTAAGCAGATTGGTGTCGTTGTCAATTGGTAACCTCTTTTGTTTGAGCTGTGCTCTCGCACACAAATATCTAATTTGAATATCGAGGAATCATCTTGAGCATAAACGAAATCTAATCATCCAATATACAGAGTCTCCTTAGAATCCTAAATTGCTCAAGCCAAAAGCTTTAGCGAAATCGTCTGCACAGTTATTCTGAGTTGGAATAACATCCGAAGCTATTGCTCCCTGCTACCATTGTTAGGATTTCACTATTGCCCATTGGGGTTAAGGTGCATCTCGGCGTTTCATAAGTGAATTCTTCATAAATGAGGATTTCATTGCTTCCCTTGAAATTCCCCCCCCCACACTACGTCGTCACAGCTGTATTGGTATGTAGTTTTTGGTTCCCAACCGGTTCCCATCAAGCACACAGTTGTGAATTCCAGTCCTCAATTCCAGGTTTACCCATTGAAGTTTGAACATACTTTCATGACAAAGACTCTAGCACGTATTATTCTTGGATTCGTTTTTTGGACTAAGCATGCTATCCTATATCAACCTTGGATACAGCAAGTAGGCTGCAAATTATCTCTGTCGATCGAACCCTGTTTGTTTTACTAATACTGATACAATTGTTTCCAGTTTCAACTCACTGTTCCGTGGTTTTACAACAATGCTCCAGCCTTTCCAGAATGCACCACAGGATTTCACACTCTTCTCGGAAAGATCTGCGTACTACCGTATCACCACCGATCCAATTGCCAAAGCGTTTCCCACTTCCAAAGTGCTCGTTGGCTGCTACTAAGTTTATTCAGGAAATTGGTTGTCTTTTACACGCTGACCAATTACTCCATATCATGAAAAGGACTACGTTGTCCACACAAGCGGTCCCCAAGAAGTTCGGTTCCTATCGAATTGTATATGATCAATACCCAGCGATATGTCTATCCCCATCCTTCCGGTAACTGTCACAGGTAGCGACAATTTTACTATGCATGTCATCAATGTAGGATTCACCTTGCTACTATCCCCTACACCACACTTGCCAGACCCGATTGAAAGCCCTCTCCTTTGGTCTATGCGATGCCCCACATATCTTTTGCCCTACTTTACACGAGCGCTTGAACCCTTTTACTGACTAGTTTATTTAGATGATGTTCTCGTTTAATCTCCAGCGGTAGTTTCAAGCATTAAACATTAAACATGTTCATACCTAGTCACCTTCATACCCATCGCCATACTGTTAATTGGAACAAATGTGCTTTCAGCCATTCCACTGTTGAATGGGTCGGTCGTGATGCATCAGCTATATACTGTTATAGACCGCCTTGACACTACCATTGGACAAGTTCAAGCTATTCGAACACCACAATCCAAGTTTTATATCAAAAGGTTCCTCGATCAAGTTGGCAACATTCGATACATCGTCCCTCGTTTTGCTCAGTTTCCCCAACCTTTAACCAGCATACTCGAAAAAGAATGTGCCTTTCTCTTGGTCCGCTACCTGTCAAGAAGCACTCGAGTACCTCAAAGATTCTGTGATACATACGGTTCTGTTGCTTCCTTTCAGTCAACCGGCATCGATTCGTATCCGCACCCATGCATCCCATTACGCTATCGCTCCTATTAGATGTTGTGAACCCCACCAAATAGTTTCCTGTTTAGTATCGTTCCAAAAGGTTTGACAGCCATCATCAGCACTGCGTTAACCATACTGGGCGGTTCAGTTTGCTACAAAAGTTACGGTATTTTCTTGAACGTCACTTGTTCACAATCCATCTCTCAGATTTCAGCAGATATATCAACCAATCCAAATTTCTGTTACATTGCACCCTCACCTGCGGCTTTGGATGCTGCTAGTTTTACATTTCAAAATCAGAGCCGTTTCTACGAAGTTGCTTCTAACAAGCTGGGTTACTATCTTTCCCGGAACCCTGCCTGGAAGCCTGTTCATTCACCTATTGCTATTTGCGGTGCAGTTTCAAAACTAACCGTCCCCGAGTACTGGTGTTCCACGTTTGCCCAAGCTTGCCTCGATGACCAAGAATTTCACAATATTTACCGCATTTCATCTGATGATTCATCTAGGGCTGGTACTTCATGCACTGCTGCCATTACTTCGATGATCCCTTGTACTCTGCCACTTCGTTGCTTCTGATTCCTAGAGACCTTGTCGTAGCCTATACTGCCAAACAAAAGTTGGGCTCATTACAAGGTTGATCGAGATTGGGGAGGGGAGGAAGGATGTAATTATCAATCACCCGCATCTCTCTAGGTATTCCACGCTGATCCCTTTCTTTGGAAGCGTTTTTGTGGTCAAACGTTATTAACCCCTTGGGTCTCTCTTTAGCTGATTAAGCCCTTTTGGTCGCGTTTTCACTAATAAACACCTTGGTCAACTTTCTGAAATATCGCGTACACAGGTAAAACATGCCGCTTTCATTTTGAAATACACGAAGCTCTATCTTTGATCCCAAACTAACCATAAATATCCCTCCGTCTTTTATATTTTTGGAAATCAAAAACATATTTTGTCTTGGAACTGATCGAGTATCCTACAAGCAAGTATTCTAGTAAAGTTTTGCTTAAATTTGTACCAAAAATTGCAACAAAAAAGCAGAATCCAAAATTGTTAGAGCAACCAAGGAGAAGGGTTCCTAAATGTGGGAAAGGGATAGGTGTCGTTTTTGGGTAGAATAATACTACAATAACTGAGATTGAAGTCACTAGAAGGGTATTCCTTTGCAAACTACGGATACAGGTGATTTTTGTCACGACTTATGATACGCGCATATCACGTATATTCTATCATTTGAAGGTATCTATTGGCTTCAAATTCCTTGGATGATTCTAAAAATACCTTCTTTGGCTAAGTAATGATGAACTTGTAACTTTTCGCGAGGTCTGAATTCGATTGGGAAAGGGAAAGTGTCCCCAAAGACAAAGTTCGCCTACGGTATGAAAACCCACCCAAGTTTACGGGGGTAACCGCACTGCCTTATGCTGGAGAATAAGATGCAGATCTTTGGAAGATTCTCCCGTATGTTCGCATGCGATCTCTATGTTCTAGTTTATTCTACATTTTGACAGTAATCAAACACCTAGAACAACTAATTTCCCGCAGTACTGTGGATCCTCAATTCTCTAAATTCTAAATTAACTCTCAAGTATTCTAAATTAACTATAAAGTAGGCGTATATGTATGTGTATGCCCAAGTTTCATATACATCCTAATGTGAACCTTTTTGGCAAAAAGACTCATTAAACTATTTGGTAGAATCAATGTTAAGTACTATTTTTAATTTTGTTCGCGCAATCATTCTTGAAATTTTTATTCAAGTGAATACTTCATTCCCACTTAGTTCGAGAGGGCCAACAAACACTTCGAAAACCATCTTGTGATATCAAACTAAAACATAGCATCAACATGTCCAATACACCGCAGACTGATCTTCATGAGTTACTGGCCATAACAACAAAACCTCATTCATTCAAGCAGAATCCCAATAGACCACAACCTCCTGCAAGAAGATACAAACCTTGTAGACAATTGATTACAGATGAAACTAAGTATCTTCAAACGAAAGCGTTAAAATTCGACACCCCAACATACAATTCAGTTACTGCACCACCCAGTCTATTACCTCGCAAGAATTATTGTGATATTACTGGGTTAGAAGGAAAGTATCGAAGCCCTTCGAATCAACTTCGATTTCACAATGTTGAAATTTATCAGGAAGTAATAAAGAATATGCCACCTGGTGTAGATCAAGATTATTTAGAATTGAGAGGAGCCCATGTTGTATTGAAATGAAATTACTTCTATAGAATATTTATAGATGGTTATTTAATATTAAGTTAGTTTCCGGGGCCAAACATATACTATTCTCTTAATATTTCTATCAAATGTTGGCGATTGTAATACTGAATCATTAGAGTCCATTTCATTATCGGGGCAACTGTTAAATGGATTGAGTACCGCCCTTATATAACACTTGTGAATATCTAGGAACAATTGTTTCAATTGAGCTTGATCTGAAACAACATAACTTTGATCTAAACCAACTATAATTCTCAACCCATTATTTGTCTCATATCCATACACCATTACTTGATCTTGAATGAATAATAGAATAACTGACATTTCTAGTTTTCCTTGTTGTTGATGTTGTTGTTGTTGCTCACGTAAGCTCATAGAAACCGGAGATGACAAAACATCCAATGCAATGTGACTTAGGAAGTTGTATTTCAAGAAATTATTTGTATCCTCTATAGTAGCGTTTTCACTGTTAAATGATTGTATGTATAGTGGTCTATCATCACGGGATATCAATGACACGAATTTAATAGGATCTTTAGAAGGAACAGAAAAGGAAGCCTTCGTTGCCTTGGTCGAATCAATATTGGGACTGGATTCATCTTTCTGGGTTAAATCTACAGAAGTCGGTATTTGCAGAATTGATTCTTTTTGTTCAGATGTCATTGATTAAACTTGTATCATGCAATGTTTGTTCAAAGTTACTATGTCATGGACTAGAGCAACATTTTTTTTTTTCAGTGGGAATTCCAGTATCTCACACCCATTGAAAAATGAAACAATTGACTTCTTTGCAAGTAAACAACTTTAATAAACTTGGAGAATCCCAAGCTGTGACATTCACATGTGCAACAATAAAACGCAGATGCGACGGCACCAAAATAACTATAGCGTTAGGTCTACTGATGTGATCTACTTTGAGCAAGGGTTGAAGAACATATTTTTACACTCAGCCTACTTAGAGAAAGTCGGACCAAATCGGCACCAGCAAAAAAAATTTTTGGTTGCTTGGCCCACCACCCCCCAAGGCTTATAACCATCAACAAACTAATTAGTTTCATAATATGGCAATCAAATAAGCTGAATTTGTATTTGGCTGGGTTAAGAAATCAACCATTGGATATATATTTATTTGTTTAATTGCACAAAGTTACTAGTTGTCATTGCTTTCTGACAGTTTAAGATAATCTTCCTAAAGGGGTTTTTTGCAATGTGGCGTATGAGAAATGTGATTTTGTTCTAACTTATTTTTATTTGATTTTTTAGTTTGGATATTTTTAGATTTTGGAACTAAAGTTGATGATACAGTTATCAACGCAATTTATCAATGATCTAGAGAACTTTTGATAATCATAGTACACAATCTATGAAGATATAAATAGCATAGCATTCTATTTATTTCTCTCCCCACCCCTTGTTTTTTGCCTGGGTAAATTGTCATTATATAAATTAAATGCATTGTCATTATTGTCTAATTTTATTCTTGTGTTCCTTTTTTAATTTTGTGTATTATTAAAATCTCCTTTAAAAATTTTAAAAAATTTTCTTTCCTAAAAATAAATCTTTTAGTTATAAATTATTTAAAACCTTTTAATCTCTTTTTCATTTCATTTTTATTCTATTCCAAGTGTTAAAATTATTAATTATTTATTCATTTGCTTTTATTGATATTAAAACTAGAATACTTGGGAAATAAATCATATAAGTTCCATCCATAACCCTTATTACTTGACTTCACGCTTTAAATTATTGTTTTTTTTTGACCTCGTACCGCTCGCTTAGTTAGTTTCAATTTATTACACAAATTTTCCAATGGCCATTTTTAGATCTAAAACAAACAAGAAGTCTCCTAGCAAGGCAGGACATATCGACGTAAAGATATCACCTAAAGATCAACAACAATATAAAATGCATACTGCCAATGTTCATGACCCTATTTTAACGGCTGTTAATGAAGATCAACCTTTTGAACAAGCAGCAAGACATGAAAACAGAAGACCATCATATTTGAGCAATGACTCGGCAGATTTGAAGGATATTTTTGGTCGACCTATTCGTCAAGGTGATATGTCTAATCCTACTCGAGAAAGAAACGAACGTCCTTTAGATACGATTAGAGGGTTTGAATATGCAATCACTGGTGACGTATCGTATCGTGATCAATTAGAATCCCATCGTTTAGGTTGGGGATTCCATGAAGACTTTCCATACTACAATTTAAGCGGTCAAACCCATAACCAAGAAGGTAACTCTAGACCAGTAATTAATTTTGATCAACATCCAATTTATGAAGAGCAAGGTTATGTTAAACCAAGTGGACAGAAAACTAAAAAGAAAAAGAAGGGGTTCTTTCGTAGAAATTGAATCTATATATATAAATATATGATGAAACGAAGTTTGTGGGTTTAAATTGTTCTTTGAGGGTTTTTATTTTGGGTTATCATTCCGTTATTGTTATTATATATTTATAACTTTCTAGTGTATCTTTAGTTTCCGTTCTTTTTAATATATCTTTAAGTCTCTAAACAAATTTAGGTTGTAAACATCTTCATTCCACGTTGTCAAGCAGAGAAAAAAAAATAAGACGCCAAACGCGAGATCCTGTTTCATATTTTGGTTGCTAAATTGTTCGAAAGTGGACAATGAGCCTACGCATGTGCTGCTCTCTTAATGTACCTCTGCCATTCCCAACTTCATCATGATGTCAAGAATCAGACGAGTTTACGCGTACTCAAAAGTCTGATTCAATAGATATCACCTACATTCATGAAAAGTGCCATTTACGTTCTGAGACGAACGTATGGCTACCATCGGTGTAGTCCTCCAAGAAATTAATTGGATCATATTATGATCTATTATAAAGAAAAAAAGCGAACCCCGTACTAAGCCAATTTCTGCAGTTGCCTAAAGTAATTTTACACTTTTGAAAGTAGGGTAGTTATCATCAAACGGGAAGCAATGCTGTTTAGTTTACAATTATGAATTGAATCATGCTTCTTCAGTTGTTTGATAACTTCAAATTAAGATATGATATCCTACTAAAGCTAACTGACGGAATTTTAGCGTTCTTCACCAAACGAAAAAAAAAAATGTGAAAATTTCGCTCAAATTTACATCTTACATTAGAAGGGAATAGACGAAAGGCATCGTGCAATATGATCAGAACTGTGTTACATAATTCAAGAGCTCTAACCAGTGGAAGACGATTCTTATCCACATTATTGTCAAAAAATCCCGACAAAATCACCCTTGAAGATCTTAAAGCATCAAATCAAGATGATATCGCCGGGCGAATGTCATTGATTAAATCGATTAATCTTTCAGCCAACTCCAATAAGCAACAATTAATTAATGAATTAATACCCGATTTCTCGATATATTTCAAATTAGATCCTGCAATTAAAAATACCAATGAAGTTTTACTGAGAATTATTCAGGTTAATCCCGGAAGAGTTCACTCATCGTGGGAACTTTTTCAACTACATTCTTCAAATTTAGATGAAATAAGTGTTTCATTGATCAAGAATTTATTAAATAAGTTGATAACTGGCGAGGCGGTTGATCAGAGCGAGAATTATATTATTGATTTTGATAACTTACATAGGTTACAGACTTTGTTAACGGATCATATTGTAAGTGATATTTCCCAATATGAATCCGATTTGATTCAATTATTAGATAAATTGATTCAAGATGATTCAGTTGCATTTATAGGCTTTTTAATCAACGACATATTATCACCACCGTTTATTGTTGAATATATGAAAACATTCCATGATAGAAACACTCCAAGTGAGAATTGTGTTTTCTTGCTTATGGTTGAAAAGGTATTAGAAGAAGATCCAACCTTATTAACAACGGAACAATACATAAAGGCATTAGATATTATAAATTTAAAGCTGGAACAACTAGAACCAATCATGTCTAAACAAGTCGAACTTTCTAAACATCTATCAATTGAATTCAAACCATCCATCGTTAGAGATTTAGATAAGAAGATCTTGAAATATATCCAAGAATCAGATATAGATCTTGAAGCTGGGAATATCCTCTTGAGACAAAAAATCATTGAATCCTATGGAATATTTAGTAATGATACAGAACTGGCTTTGAAGAAGTTCCATCAATATCAAACACATGCAAGTTATGGCATTGAATTTGTTGGCGCAACATTGGCGAAGGTGTTTGGATACCAGGCCATCAATCAGAATAAAGAAATTTATGCCGAAGTTGCAGCCACATTGGCCCCTCCCGATTCAATGACTGTCAGATTATTGCAATCCTTAATTATTTCTCAATCTTTCTTCAAGCCAGACTCAGGATTATCTATATACAACAATTACATTAATCAGGTTGGTTCTGATCTTATTCAAAATACCGGCAGATCAAGTAAAGGGTTACTTACTGAAGCGGTTGTATTGGGATTTCTTCAAAATAATGACAGAAGTTTCGCTAGTTTAATCTTTGAAAAAGCAATTGACAACAAAATAATCACTTATGAGCCTGAGATTTCCACTATAAAGAAATTATTTAAAGCATATAGTGACTGTTTTGTTGAAGATGAAGATTGGAGTAAGGCAAAGATTAAGATGAAGGAGTTTGTATTGAAGTTCATGAAAAATTTATAATGAGTTCTGTTTTAGTAGTCGAGACTGCATATACAAAATCAAGGTATAATAGACAGGAGGGCGGAAATTTAAATGTTAGAGAGCTTCCCAATTGGGAAATTTAAGCGCGAGTTAGGACACGAAATGGTTCACGTGATCAAAAAATTGTTCACGTGATCTAAAAATTTAATATTACAGTATATAAATTTAATATGCAGGATAATTTTTCATCATGACTAATTCTATTTTTTGCCGTAATTAATTCCTTATCAATTGACTCACACATTATAATAATGGGGCATTACCTGCACCACCGTTTTTATCCAAACGAAACTGAAAAATTTTAAAATAAATTTAAACCCAATTCCTTTAACTTTTTCTTTTCAATTTTTTTTTAAAACTATTGTTGCTTAAGTTTTCTTTATAGAAATTATTCAATACTCAATTATACAATACTTACTATGTCTGAACCCGTTATTATACATTTAAGAGCAGAAACCAAGCCATTAGAAGCAAGAGCTGCATTAACCCCAACCACCACCAAGGAATTAATTGATGCTGGTTTTAAGGTTTATGTTGAAGAAGCACCACAATCCACTTTTAAATCCGAAGAATACGAAGCTATTGGTGCCACAATTGTTCCTGAAGGTTCCTGGAAACAAGCTCCAAAGGATAGAATTATTCTTGGTTTAAAAGAATTACCAGAAAATGAAACCTTCCCATTGGTTCATGAACATATCCAATTTGCTCATTGCTACAAGGATCAAGCTGGGTGGAAGGATGTTTTGGGAAGATTCCCAGCCGGAAATGGAACATTATATGACTTGGAATTCTTGGAAGATGACAATGGTAGAAGAGTTGCAGCCTTTGGATTCTATGCAGGTTTTGCTGGTGCGGCTATTGGTGTCTTGGATTGGGCTTTTAAACAAACTCATAGTGATGATGAAAACTTACCTGGTGTTACTCCTTATCCTAATGAAGATACTTTGATTGCTGATGTTAAGGAACAATTGTCTGCTGCTTTGAAAAAGACCGGCGGTAAATATCCAACTGGTTTAGTGATTGGTGCTTTAGGAAGATGTGGTTCAGGTGCAATTGATTTCTTCAAAAAAGTTGGTATTCCAGATGAAAATGTTAAGAAATGGGATATGGCTGAAACCGCCCCAGGTGGTCCATTTAAGGAAATTGTTGATAGTGATATCTTTGTTAATTGTATTTATTTATCAAAACCAATTCCACCATTTATTGATTTTGAAAGTTTGAATGTCCCTGATAGAAAGTTAAGAATCATTGTAGATGTTTCTGCCGATACTACTAATCCACATAATCCAATCCCAGTTTATACCATTGCCACAGTTTTTAATGATCCAACTGTCGTTGTTGAAACTACTAAAGGTCCAAAATTGTCAGTTTGTTCTATTGATCATTTACCATCCTTATTACCAAGGGAAGCTTCCGAATTCTTCTCGAGGGATTTAATGCCATCCCTTTTACAATTACCAAACAGAAACACTTCTCCAGTATGGGTTAGAGCCAAGCAATTGTTTGACAAACATGTTGCCAGATTAGGTTGATCAGAGTTTATGAGTTCATTTCAAAAAAAAAAAACGGGCCCATGGCCATTTTACATTTCTTTAATTCTTGTGATTTACTATATTTATTTATGTTTACTAATATACAAAGTTTTATTCTAAGGTAATACTAACCTTCTTCTTCTGCTTCTTGTTATTCTTCTTTCCCTTTTTCTTTTTACCTTTCATTATTCTTTGAATCTCTTCTCCATCTGTTTCATATTCAGATTCACTAACGGCACCAGAGTCATCATTCTCACCGGCCATTTCAGTAAGAGAATTGTATCGTCTCTTCATAGTTTCCATTCTTTCAATACTTTCAGAACTAGTAGCAACACAATTTAATCTTTCACCAGTATCATAGATTGCAATTTGATCTCTTACCGATTCAGTTAAATTCCAAACGACAATCTTACCATCAGATGAAACAGAAACTAATAATGGTAATCCTTGAGTTTCCACTGGATCGTGGAAATAAGAAAATCCTTTTATACGATTTGTATGGCCCCTTAATTCAAATTTGGATTCCAATATTTCTGGAGTTGCATCCCATATTTTTGATTCATCATGTTCACCAAGGGTTTCTACAATTTGCTGTTGGAAATCATAGAATTCGATAGCTCCATTACTTAACCCAACAACTAACCATTCTTTACCTTCAACCAATAAAATTTCACCAGCCATTAAAGTGGAATTGAATTTAATCTTTTTCACAATCTTAGCGGTGCTCGTATTATAAACCAAGATTTGATTAAATAATCCTACTATGAAATAACTACCATCAAGAGACCATTTAACAAATTCCCCTGATTGTCCTAAATGGTCTCTTCCTTTTATCTTTAATACTGCGGCTTTTTTGGCAGTCATTAAATTCCATAATCTTATAGTTTGATCCTGCGAAACTGAAATGGCAACTCTACCAGTTGGATGAATTGCTAAATCGTTAATTCTTCCAGTATGACCTTTCATTGTCCCAAATGTTTCCCAATCTTTAGTTCTCCAAATGATAATTTTCCCATCGTCAGAACCAGATAATAACCATTTTCCCGATTTGTCTACTGTTTCACTAGGTTCATCATGTCCTTCACTCGAGAATCGTAAAGTTGTAATTGTTCCTGTATGACTTAATAAATGTCCTAATTCTTTTCTTTTTTGTAAATCATAAATCTTAATATGTTCATCATTTGATCCAGTAACAAGATAACGTTTTGCTAAATCCATAGATTTAATAGATAATGCATGAGCTTCAAAGTGGAAAATTGGTTGAAATATAGCTTCTTTTTCACCCTTTGGATCTATTATGACGGAAAGACATAATAAATTGTGTTCATATGATCCTACAAATATTCTAAATTGGATTGGTTTTGATGATTTTGTTGCTGGGGGAGGAGTGACTGTAGTTGTAGATGTTGATCCTTTAATAGATGATTTTAATTGAGATTGTTCAACTGAGACATCATATTTGGAAGGATTATCAACTTTGGCTTTCTTATTCTTATTGGCCATTATGGTTTGTTGGTTTTTCAGTTTTAGCTAAGAGGAATAAGTGATGAGATGAGGTCCGGTATTTTTTTTTTCACAGCCTAAACAGAATCAGTCGCCAGTGCAGCCACCAGTGAAGGAAAATCGCGTCCGTTCTATTTTTCTTCAAATCAGCTAAAATTGGCTGGGGATAAAAAAACTTGCAACAACAACAAGAAACTTACTATTGAATCGAAGTGTATATGAAAGAATAACAATGGTGCAGAACCAGAAGACACCATCACAGCACAATTCTACATTGTTCATCTCACCAATGTTAACCAAAAAGAATGAATTATTCATAACTCCCCCCAATCCTCCCACATCATTATTTGAAACACCCGGATCTAATCGATCCCTGTTTTTCAATTTTGATAAATCACACAATCAGCCAGGGTCATCATCTTCGAAAGATTTACTACGAAATTCAATGATGAGTCAATCGATAGAACCATTGACTCCTGCTGAGAAATTGAGATTATGGAGACATGATGCCTTGATGCAACATCATTATAAAACTGCCGAAGTGATTGGTGATAAAGTATTGGCATTAACTGATGATCCAAATGATGCGTTTTGGTTAGCAGAAGTCTATTTTAACAGTGGGAATTATTTACGAGCTAAGCTGTTATTAATTTCTAAACCAGAATTTGAAAAATCAGTTAGTTGTCGTTATTTGGCAGCATATTGTTTAATAAAATTAGAACAATGGGATGAAGCATTAGATTTAATTGGAGAATCAAATCCATTTAAGAAAGATGATCAAATAAGGAATAGTGATGGAGGGATTAAGTTAGAAGCTTCAATGTGTTATTTACGAGGGTTGATATATGCCAATCAAAATAATTTTGAAAGGGCGAAAGAATCATATAAAGAAGCAGTTATGGTCGATGTGAAATGTTTTGAAGCATTTGAAGAATTAATTAGTAATAATTTAATGACACCGAGTGAAGAATGGGAATTTATTCAAGGGTTGAATTATCGAGATGCTGATGATAATGATGAATTGATTAGATTATTGTATACAACAAGATTAAGCAAATATCTTAATGTTAGTAAATTTATTGAAGCTGAACATATTTTGAAAGAAGAATATAATTTAGGTGAAAATTGTGATATCTTATTGAGCAGAGCCGATTATTTATATATTCAATGTAATTTTGATGCCTGTTTATCAATTTGTGAAAAGATTTTAACTAAAGATCCATATAATTTTGATGTTATACCAAATTATTTAAGTTGTTTATATGAATTGGGAGGTAAGAATAAATTATTTTTAAAAGCCCATCAATTAGCCGAGAATCACCCAACTAATCCAATGACTTGGCTTGCAATTGGAACCTATTACCTTTCCATTAATAAGATTATCGAGGCAAGAAAATTTTTCAGTAAAGCTACTTTACTTAATCCTAATTTTGGTCAAGCTTGGATAGGATTTGCCCATACATTTGCTGCCGAGGGAGAACATGAACAAGCAATAAGTGCATATGCATTTGCCGCTAGATTATTTCCAGGAACTCATTTACCTAATTTATTTTTAGGAATGCAACATTTACAAATGAATAATTTAAATCTTTCTGAAGAATATTTATTAGCATCATATCATATTTGTAATAGTGATCCATTATTATTGAATGAATTAGGAGTAATTAATTTTCATAAGAATCAATTTGATAAGGCAGAGATTTTTTTCAAAGAGGCATTGTATGCCGCCAAATATTTGAATTCTGATAGTAAGACTTGGATATCTATACATGCAAATTTAGGACATGTATATCGAAGAGCTAATCAACCATTTAAAGCTCTTGAATGTTTCAATCAAGTGTTAAAGATTAGTAGTAAAAATGATTCAAATATTTTAGCAGCAATAGGATTAATATATTTAAAACTTGGTAATATAGTGAAAGCTATTGATATCTTACATGATGCATTGGCTATTTCACCATCTGACCCAGTTGCGAATGATTTATTGAAGCGAGCTTTGGATGCCAATAAAGATAACAATGGATCTTTCTTAGAGGGAGCTGGTGCAAGAGTGGATGCTAGTTTACCAATGCTATTGAATAGACATCGTGGGAAAGAACAACATCAGAGTAGTACAAGATTTTTAACTCCATTAACGACTAAGACGAGAATGTTAAATCAAGGGGTGGAAGGTAGTTCAAGTAAACAACAAAGTAAAGTTGATAAATTCGACTTTGAAGGTAGTAGTGGTGATATTGATCAATTTGCTGAAGAGTTAAGAAGAGGAGAAGAATCAAGTGATGAAGATGATGAAGTTATGGATATCGAAAGTGATTAACCATGAAGTCTAATTGATTTGTATTCTTTTTTTTGGTTGCAAAAAGTTTCAGTTTTTTTTTCTTGTAGGGTTAGCAGGCATTCTATAAATAGGAATAATGATGATGTCATGATTTTAATTAATTTTTCTCTCTTTAAAAAAAAATATTTGATGTAAAATTTGACATGACTAATTTTTATTATTTTAGTAGTATAGTATATGAAATATTTCCACATCAGGAAATCATAATTTCAAATTGATCTATTTACAGCCCTAATTGGCTAATCTCTCTCTGCAAAAATGGAATTTTAATAGAACAACATACAATGCAACACAAAATAGAGAACAATACAATTCTTTTATAATTCAGTTGCATAGTGATGCATACTAAAAAGATCAAAATATGACAAACACAAAATCAAATCTTAACCTTTTTATGTAATTAGGTGTCAATTTAAAAGCTACTTCCTACAGTACTTACTAAAAATAGACAATTATACCTTACAAGTGATAAATGGCCCGACCAAATAATAAGCAACATACAAGTGACTCCAATCTAAAAATCGTGTATTGGAAAGGTGTAATTATAAGTAAAGAAATTGTATGTAAATAATGAGCCGCACAACTTAATGATCAGATTTTTTTGTTTATGGTTTTTTTGTTCTTCGTTTAAAAGAAGAATTTCTCTTCTCTCCCCTTTAGTCTCCACCCCAATTATATAAATAAAAAATCAAAACACAATAATTGTTTATTGTTTCCTTTTATTTCATTCTTTTATATTTCCATTCATAATTTTCTTTTAAAACTTTCAATTCATTATATTTCTTATTCTTTTTCTATTTTAAATTAGGTTAAAGGAATCTTATTAATCACACCCAGAGAAACAGATCTTTATAGCCAATCTTCATATGTTTTTTCAATGAATAATCATCACAACTCATCATCACTGGCATCATCATCAGTTTTATCAAAGGATTTTCTTTGTATCAACTTCAATCAAGATCAAGGATGTTTTGCTATTGGACATGAAGCTGGTTTTCTTGTATACAATACAAATCCGATTGATTTAAGAGTTAAACGAAGTTTTAATCAACAACAAACATTATCAACAACGGGAACAGTCACAACCGATGATACTAGTGGATCTACTAGTAAATGTGGAATTGGTAAAATATCAATGTTACATCGAACAAATTATCTTGCATTAATTGGTGGTGGTAAACGACCAAAATTCCCATCAAATAAATTAATCATTTGGGATGACCTTAAGAGAAAGATTAGTTTAATATTAGAATTTGAAAGTCCAGTATTAAATGTATTATTATCAAGAATTAGAATTGTTGTTGTATTAATTAATAGAGTCATTGTTTATGGATTTTCAGCTCCACCCAAGAAATTTGCCACTTATGAAACTATAGATAATGAATTTGGTATCGCTGATTTATCAGTCAACTTATCAACGGCGACGCCCACTGGCACTTCAAATGGGTCAACATCGGCACCCCCCATGACCAATTCATCATCCTCAGTAGCATCATTAACATCATCATCGTCCTCTTCAGCCCATAATTCAAATAAATATCAAACACTTGCATTTCCAGGTCGATCAGTTGGACAAATTCAAATTGTTGATGTTGGACATGATCGGAATTTAGTTAATATTATAAAAGCTCATAAATCAAAAATAAGATGTCTTTGTTTAAATAAATCAGGGACATTAATTGCATCAGCATCAATATTGGGGACAATCATAAGAGTTCATTCTACTAGGACAACAGCATTATTATATGAATTTAGAAGAGGATTAGATCGGGCAATTATAGTATCAATGAAATTTTCTCATGATGATTCAAGATTAGCAGTATTATCCGATAAAAATACTTTACATGTGTTTAATATTAATGATCAAGATGAACATTTAAATAAACAACATATTTTAAATCGTATACCATTTATACCAAAACCAAATTATCTTTTATCAACTTGGTCATTTGTGTGTATAAATACCAATCAATATCATCAAGAATTTAATGGGAATGATATTGGAGTGATTGGTTGGTCAGGTAATGATTGTATTATTATTGTTTGGCAAAGAAAGAAAATATGGGAAAAGTATTTAATTCAACCTATTCTTAATGATTCAATTGATAATAAGAAAAGTTATGAAATAGTTAGAACAAGTTGGAAAAGTCTTGAAAATGAGTGATTCATTTTATATACTATATGTAAGATCATAAATAGCATACGACATCTTTTATTTATATATCCCCATTCTACGATTCCCATTCTACAAAGTTGAATACTCTGGTATTTGGTATTTCCTTACACTCATTACATTTATTATATAGAAAACATCATGAATAAAAAATTTACCAAAGAAAAGTTATAAACATGAGAATAAAATTGAAAAACTCTATACAATAGAATTATAATTTTTGCATAGCAGCAATATCAGTAGATTGAACATGATCTTCATCTTCTTCAATAGCAGCTTGTAATTCATCCAAAGAAACTAAAGCATCTTCAACAACCAAGTTGATTTGTAATTTCTTGATTCCGAAACCAACTGGAATCCATTGATGAGCACCCCAAGTTAAACCTTCCATTTGAACAGCTTTAACATTGGCTAATAATTCTTCTAAATCAGTTTCATCATCCCATGGCTTAACATCTAAAGTAACAATAGATTTAGCAGCTGGCTTTGGACCCTTAGCAGCCTTCTTAGCAGCATATTCAGCTAATCTTTGTTGTTTTAATTTTTCAGCTTCTTCATCAACTTCTTCATCATCAGAACCGAATAAATCGACATCTTCGTCATCTTCTTCAGCAGCAGCGGCAGCGGCTGGAGCAGTACCGGCTGGTAAAGTGTCGAATTCTTCAGTGAAAGAAGCAATGTGGTTGAACCATCTGGCAAATTGTGGGTATTGCTTTTGGAAAGCCTTGTAGACAGCAACATCAGCTTGGGTAGCAGAGGTACTATAAAAATAAACAGTTAGTAAAAAGGCATTCTTTCTTATTGAAAGGGTCAATTGAGATTCTTTTTTTTATTTAATAGCAAGTCAGATTAAAGATTTAAATCTCCTTTGTCACTCATACGGTGGGTCTTGAATCCACCTCATAAACACGGACCAAAGATTAAGTTCATCATTCAGCATTCAAAAAAAAATTGGGTTATCCCATTAGCAATCGATCAATTGTATTGAATCTATCAATTTGATTATTTCTTCAATTGAAAAATTTTCATATATTAGTAAAAATGTACATACCCATCAACATAAGACTTATCAGCTAAGAATTCGTTTAAGGATTTAAGGGTTTCAACCTTGGAGAAGTCGGAGAAAGACATGTTGTGTATATATATATGAATTGATCCAAAGAAATAAGAATGAAAAGAAAGAAGAAGAAGAAGAAAGAAAACTAAAAAGGGATGAAATTTTTTTTTTTTTTTTGGATGTAGGTGTTGAATTTCGTTGAAGATTTTTCCTTTGACTTCCATACTGATGATGATGATGAGTTGTTGTTAGGAGTGAAAAATTTATTAACAACGTGATCAGAAAAAATAAATTTATTTATGAGAACAATGGGAAATATTTCATTCAATACGCGATGACAAGGTCTACAATTTACAGCAAACAGTATGATAATTACATACTACATTATCCGGGTAATCAAATTATACATATGTCTAATATATTTGATTTCTATAAATATCTAAACACCCTATACGCTCTTATTGAAATGTCCAATATTTACATTCAAAATTAGCATAACATCTAAATTCATTACTTAACCCATTCTTATGTTCAGGTAAAAATGTAGTCATTTTAGTATCAGGATAATTCTTCTTAACAATATGTTGCATTCTTTCACCAGTTGATGAAATAAGTTTATATTTACAATCACCTGATTTAGTCATACCAGATCTATCAATTACAAGAAGATTATTTGCCGCTTGAGAAGATTTAGTTTGACATTCTTCTTCTAAGAAAGGTGGATCGATTAATAATCTATGACATTTATTCCTAAGATGATCAGGTATCATATCAGGATAATTATAATCATAAACACTAAAATGATCTTTCCCTGCTAAAACTTCAAATCTACTATCAAATTCAAGTAAATAAATATGTTTTGTAGGTACTTCATCTTCAGGAAGTTGTTTAATTGCCGCATAGACAGATGGTGCACTAGCAATTACAACCACCGTATCTTCATCTGCTCCTTCTAATAAAGCTTGACCCAAGATTTTGGCAGTTTCATCAGCATACCAAAATTGTGATAATTGCCAATCTTCTTTAAATGCATCAATAGATAATACTTTTTGTTGTTGATCAAATTGAGTTTCTGATTCTTTATAAAGAGCTTCAAATTGTTCAAGACGATCATTTTCTTCTTGCTTAAATTGTTGAAGAGCTGCTAAAGCATGACTAGACAACATTAGGATTTCATCATCAGAGTCACTCATCTTTTATTACTCTCACCCATTAAATGTCAGTTGGAAAAGATGTGTTATAGTTGAGTCTATTTCTTCTTGAAAACCTTCGATAATTCAATTTTTTTAAAATTTTTCTTTTTTTCTTTTACTTCTCATCACTTCCCATTCCTATTGTCTCTATGTATATGGTTCACATTGTAGCTTGAGTTTAGAGCTTTATACATGAAAGAAAAAAAAATTCAATTCCCAGTCATACAAACAAAATTGTCCTGGGTTAATTAAATAAGATATTATTATTGAATAAATTGAAACAGAGCATCAAATAAATTTTCACTCCAAACTTTAAATTTATTCAAACCAGCAAAAAAAATCAAAAAAAAAAAGATAAACCCATATTCATCCCACCCCCCCCAGGTTTAATCAAACATGCTGTTTTCATGTACACCATATGAATTGGTTTCTCATGTTTTAGAGAAACTTTCATTCTCAGGTCAACTGGGAGTAACATTAGTTGATTTATGGGGATTGATTCAATTGAAAATTAATCTGAATGATCTTGATGATTTTCAAAAACAAACAATTTGGCAATGGTTATTTTTTTGTACGGAAGAAGATGAAGAATTACAATTATACATCACCAAGCAAGGTTCAAAACAACCAGTGACTATTATTCCAATATATAAAGATTTCATTGCAAAAGAAGGTAATGAAGATATCCTTCGAGTATTACCAATTGATGAAGTACAATGTTATTATTTAACTGGTGTTGCTGATAGTGAAAAATTTAAACGATCACTTGGAGATATGCCATATCAATTATTATGTGAAATTGCCAAATATGGAGAAGCGGGAATTCTTTCTCCTGAATTATGTAAAGCTACTGGACAAGATGCAAGATCATTACCAACCAGATTTAAAAAATTGGAAAGTTTGGGATTAATTGTTAAGAAATCAGTATTTCATGGAATATCAAAACAAAGGACAAACCTTAGTGTCCATTCTAAATTTGCGGCTCATGCTGGGACAACAACAACTGAATCTTGTATTGATTCTTCTTTTGCAAGTGCAAATAAATTAAAAAGATATATTGTTCAAGCAACTAAAGAAGCTCCAAATCAAATTAGATCATTTAGAGATTTAAAACTTGAAGTTAAAATGGATAAAAAAGGACCAAAATCAAAGTTTTTCGGTACAATTGTTGATAGTTTACAAAGTATGGGTTGTATAGAACGGGTAAATGTAAAAGGACAAGATGATAAACCACTTTATTCCCTTAGATATTTGAAAGATTTACCAAATGACTTATCAGATGTAGCCGGCTACGTAGAAGTTTTCAATTCAATTGAAGAAAAGGAACAAAAGCAACAACAAGAAGATGTCGATGAAGATATATCCACCACTACTCCAGAAACCATACCCACAATTAATACGTTTTTCCCCCTCCCAAGTCAGATTTATCAAATCATACAAACATCCCCGGGGCTTCCAGTCAAAGATGTATTGAAAACTCTAGTGGGGACTTTACAATATCGTACATATCTAAGATTAATTGATTCTATGGTCAGTTTTACATCCGATGGGAAATCATTAATCCCCACCAAAAAATTCCCCGATGAATTACCTAATCATTGTATTGTTAGAACTCCCGATTTTATTGGAAAATTTAAAATTTATCGATATTCAACTAGATTAGAACAAATGTCTCTCCCAGCGAAGGCTAATAAAGGTAAACGACCCGCTCCAAAAAGGATTAAAGCTAGTCTGCTTGAACTGGTTAATAAAGCGAAATTTGTTGCTTTGGGTCCAATTCCAAAAGTGTCTTTCATCGGTCCTGGGAAGCGGCCAGCTGGACTGACACCAACTTCAATATTACCTGCAACTAAGAAACGGAAATTGAAACAATCAACTTTTATAGATGACGATGACCTAGAAGAAGAGGAAACAGAAGTTGTGACACCAAGAAGAACAGCAACCAAGAAACAAAAAGAGAAAACACCAACTATTATCGATGAATTGGAAATTGACGAAGAAGAAACAGGGTTGGTAAGACGTCCAAGAAGAGCGAAAATGAAAACATTAAAGTCGTTTGCCATGATGGACATCGATGACGAACCTGACGATGACGAGGAGGAGTTTAAACCTTCAACAAAACAGGACGAAGATGAGGAGTCTGACGAGGAATTCAAATCACCAGTTGTGCAGGATGATGAATCTGATGAGGAGCCATTAAAACAACCATCTTATGTTGAGCCAGTGGATATAAATGAGATGGAATCTATTACTCCTCAAGTTGAAACTAAAGAAACGAGAAAATTTACCCGTGCACCAGTTCCAAATACCTTAAAATCATTAAAGAGACAATCAGCTTTATTAGATCTTATTAAAGAGAGAGGAGGGGTTGTTTGTAATACCATTAAATTAGTACGACAATTGGATCAGAAGCTTGGATTTACTACAAAAACGGATATGAAGACATGCGTTCGTGATATTACTAATCTTATAAATTCAAAGGAATTGGAAGTTAGAGTAATTCCATATCGCAAGGGAGCTCAAGAATTGACCAAGAGATTATTGATAGTTACTGAAGAAGGGTTTAGACCAACTGAAGAACAAATTGAGGAAGTTAAACAAGGGTTCCTTCAACAAAAACATATTGTGGTTAGTCAGGCTCCGAAATATAGTACAAGACTTATTGAAGGGGAAGTTACTATTTATCAAAATGAAGAACCACAGAAAAGGTTGGCATCCTTGAGAGGAAATAAGAAACGCAGAGGGAAATCAATCAAGAAGGAGAAACCGGCAAAAGTGGCACCACCAGCAGCAGAACCAACAGCAACAGCACCAGCAGGTGAACCCTCCATCAAGAAGAAAGCTACTAAAAAGGCTCGAGAACCAATTCCTCATAAAACAACTCCAGTTGTGGTTAAGAAGAAATCCCGGAAGGCAACTTCAGTTGATGATGGTTCCCCAATGTCCGAAGATAAATTACCAGACTTGGTATCAAGAAGACACAGAAGAAGAACTCAACCAAAGCTGAAAAAGGAAGGTAGAAAACATGTACCAAGAAGATATAGACCCGCAGCAAAACTAGATAAATCTGACGCAACAACATTGTTTCGTGCTGTTTGTATTTGTAAATGTTTCTCCCGGGCTTCTATCGATTTTGATTCTATAGCAGATTTATTCGAAGGAATGAATGGACCAACAATCAAACAAAGATGGAGTATCGTGAGAAGGCAAATTGGTGGTATGCCGGCTGTAAATAAAGGTATTGAAGAACTTGAGAAGATTGTTCTTCGGGCGATAGATGAGGAGTTGGTTTCTTCCAGTGACTTGGAGGATGTGAAACTTCAATTCTTTTTAGATTTATGGAAGGATTCTAGTAGTACAATAATCGAGGTTGAAGATAGGATGCCATTATATTCAAATGTGGAAAATAATTTGCCATGGTATACTAAATTAAGCACGGGTGTGGACACTCAAATGGTTTTATATGATCATCTTGAAGATCGTTCCATGAGACAGAAAGAATCAGTTCTTGCTGGTCAACCATTTTATTATGATGAAGATTTGTCATTACAGCCAGGACCATTTGATAATATAAAAACAACCTTAAAGGCAATTTTCTCAACTCCAGAAAAAGATTTGACACCTTCTAAAGTCAACCAAATCTTATCCACTTTCGGTGATGAAGTAGTTCGGAACGCGTCATCTGCTTTAATAAAAGATAAACAAATGGTTTATATCGGATCCGATGATTCTGACAGTAGATTCTTGTTAACTGATCGAGTATTTAACTGTCTTGGCGTCCGTACACTGGGGACTTTCTTCAACCAGGCAGAAACTTTTAAAGAAAACATTTCTTCGATTATTGATGCCAACAAGGGACTTATTCTTTCACAAGGGATAGTTAGTGGAGAAATGGCAACATTGATGCAATTAATAGGATCGGCCAAAATCAATATTACCCACATAGACAAGGCTTACAAGTTTGATAGTTATGAGTCAAGACAATTTGATAAAGAATACCTTAATTGTGACATTGTTGCATATGGGAACGAAGGTTTTGAAATCAAGAAGGAACTTGCAAAGATTCAAGTTCCGGTACTGGGAGCTTGTTCTCATATCTGGGTAGATTTAAATGGAAACATTAATGAAAGTCTCTGGATTAAAATTATCATTGCCATGCTTCATTATATTCATTATCGCCCTGGAATTCCTCCAAATATCATTTACAATAAGTTAAGTGCTACTTTAGGGAGCGATGACTTTATGTCAGTCATCAATTGGTTGAAAGAGAGTAAATGTATCACCGAAGGTCCTTATTCTGGTTACTGGATAATGGACCCATGGTTATCAATTTTAGGATTCTAAATGCAAACGTTTTTTTAAGTTAATTATGTAACTTTGTATTAATACATGTAAAATTTTCAATTCACAAGTTATATCTCTTCGAGACATAAATCATATTTTCAGGTCGGTCAGCTTTTTTGAATACTTTAGAGTCTAGTTTCTCGATATTTAATTTGATTTGTGAGATTCAATCGTGGATCTTTTGCAACCATTTTTTGTTGGTTTATTGTCGTACGGCAATCAATATTGTGAGATTTGAACAGTTATTTCCTTCTTAATACAACCATAGAATCCCATGACGATCTTCTTCATTCGTGCCACGATTCATATACCGCCGTTTTCATATGATTGATATTCGTCCCGAAATTGCCTGATTTCGTATTTTCCATTATTTGGCTTTCCTGTCGTGTAACTATAAATTCCTGGTTAACTTATCGGAAGTGAAGTTACTATACGACAGGGCCCGCGGGATAAGTTCAACCGCTACGTCGGTGATACTTCTATAATATTTATCTAGCAAATCCTCTCTCAATCTTGAGACCATATAATGTAGATAATCAATAAATGAGATCACCTGTAGCGATGATTCTGTATGGACCCAGCATTCCTTTAACTTGTATGATTTGGCTCCTATAACATTCTTGATTGGCTTATCCCATGTGAGAACATAATCTCCACCGTTGAGTGGGACAGCGAGTTCATTTTTGATATCATGGTAGTGCTTACTTACTTGACGTGAACGCTCCAATGTTGTGGAGGCTGATGCAAATTGATCATCGTGAAATGATAGTTGTTTGAATCTGAATTTGAAAAGCTCTAACGGGGGATAGTGTGATCTTCTTTGCAATGGGATCGTGCAGTAGGTTTAAATCAGCATAGCTCTGAAAACCGTAAACCAAATATTGAGGAGAATAGCCGGTTGACCGACGAATATTGGCTCAGCCAACCCATAAAGAAGTGTCAACATAGTTTCTCCAATTAGCATTCTTTGGCATTTTCCTGAAAAATTCAATTAATGGTTGATGTTTTCTTTCCAGAATTCCATTGACCACTGGATGATGTTGTACGGATAATTTCGTTGTAATATGATATGTTTCTAGCAAGCAATCTATTCTATATATGCAAATAATCAAGTATTTAAAAGCAAAGGTAAATTCTACCAAACAAGATGTAGTAGAAATGGTAAGGGAAACCTTACTGAAGGATACTGACATGACGGTAGCTGTTATCACTATCCAAACTCACATCCAGAGTAGTGTAAGTGCAGGAACACTCACAAATAGGAACTGCAACACCATGGATAGAAATCTGTGCAATGTTATTCAAGGAATTATCTGCCTTTATGAATACGATCATAAATATAATTGAAGACACCCAGGCAAGATTCTCGTCCATCTTACTACAAAAGCAAAGTGAGAATCAAATGTCGAGTCTATAGTAAGGAATTTTAAAAGGAACCACTTAAAAAATTATGGAGAGCTTTCGACTATGCCTTGTTAAAAGCCATAAGTACTTCAAGAATGAACTCAGGACGAACAAAAAGAGTAATGGTTCAGAGAACAAAGATTCTATATGCTACCTTTGTGGAAATAGTAAGCATGAATCCCTTGAATGTAATTCAATCTTGGTTTTCTCTCCTATTTCTCCTACTTTTCTTTATGGTTTTCCCTCTTTGCTTCATCTTCTTTATGATTTTCCCTCTTTCTGAGAAAGATCATGATGAAGCGAGGCCAGACGATCCAGGTTTTGAGACGTTGAGTTTCTTCCTGAACCGTCTGGCCTCGCTTCGTCGTGATCTTTCTCAGAAAGATATTGATCCATCTCTCCTTGAACTAATTTTTGAACATGCTCATTAACTTCTTTTGAAAAACCGATCCTTTCTTTGGCCACTGCCCTCGTCGAGGGTTTAAATTGTATTTCTGGTTCTGATGTTGCTCTTCGGGGATAGAATATTCAACAGAATCCTCTGACTTGTCATCCATATCCATGTTGTCCATGGATTCCTCATTTGGAGTTTCATTCTGAAGTTCGTTCATTGATTCTTCTCTAGTTTCCGCATTCCTAACCATAGTGTGCGTGTCCTCAACAGCATCTTTTGAAGTCCCCTGTTTTCCACGTTTTAACTGTTTGTCATTGTCTGCATCGTACCTGACTCGCTTCCTCACATTTTGTGGAGAATCTTCCACAGGATTAGATTCTACGTTGTAGTTTCGATTCACCTGGCCCCACTTTCCGACTGAAAACTTTTTTTTATATTTCCTGACTAGATATTCACCCTTATCTAATTTCAGTTTGCCACCTTCCTTATCGCAATACTTGCCGTTTCCCTCCTTTAACGATCCTTTATTAATTAAGTTAATTTTGCAGGGGATCTATGCTTACTATTTTTCACGTATGTAGCATATAGTATCTTTGTTCTCTGAACCATTACTCTTTTTGTTCGTCCTGAGGTCATTATTGAAATTCATGGTGGTGCTTATGGCATTCGACAAGGCAGAATTGAAAGATCTCCTTAATTTCAAATGGTTTCCCTTAGAACTTCGAACTATGGTCTCGACATTTGATAATATGCTTTGATTTTCTAGTAAGATGAACGCGGATCTTGCCAGGGGATCATCGATTAGGTTAATGATTGTATTCATGAAGGTAGGTAACGTTTTGAATGGCATCGCCCAGATTTCTATCCAAGGAGTAGCAGTTCCCCTACTTTGAATCTGAGTTTGTATAGTCATATCAGCTATGGTCCTATACGTATCTTTGTGTATGTTTCTTTAACTAATTCCACTACGTCATGCTTGGTAGCAGTTATTTTGGTTTATAAATATTTAATTATCTGCACATATAAAATTGGCTGCTTGGAAGAGTCATTACTCATCGTTGCTGCTTGAACAAACTAATTAAAATGGGTGCAAAATATTTTATTACACTAGGCAATGTGGGTTTGATGAAGTGATTGGGTACCAACTACGCATTCGTGTATATTATTATATTCCGAATCCAATAATTAGTTTGTTCATTAATCCTTTACTCATTCCTTGGGAGGCTATTCCACCTCCTTAGATCTCCCATGGATACGGCTTTTATATCGCTTGAATGGAGGCATTGGTGCTTCCACTTATTAAGAATTACTTTGAGGTTTTTTTTTTGGCAAAATATGGTGCAATCTTTATTGATTAGACAAATCCCTACACACTTCTTATATAAGGCAATAAAGCAAACTGTCTGCGCTTTAAAACATGCTATATAAACCACCTGATTGGTTGATCTGATTTCGTACAGTAGTTTCCATTATTTGGCCCTACTTTCGTGTAACTACCAATTCCTGGGAAGTTACTGTACGACATTTATTTCTTTTTTAAATTTCCTTTTTTTTTATCAATGTCGTGTTGACTGTTAGGACGACATTATCGATTTTTTTTATTTTAATTTTTTTTTTATCCTGCCTGAAAAAAATTTTATTCTTCCTATTGTTTTAATTGAATTCTTGTTTTTAACCAAAAGTCTACAAGAGGGATACGTGAAAAACATGGGATTAGCAGGCACTAAAGTAAAACAAAGATTTGGATTGGATCCCAGGAATACAAACTGGTCCAATAATAATTCCCAGTTTGGACACCAGTATTTGGAAAAAATGGGATGGAAGCCTGGCCAGGGGTTAGGGTTGGTTGAACATGCGATGACTACCCATGTTAAAGTATCGATCAAAGATGATACACTTGGGCTTGGTGCAAAGTTGGCTAAGAAACTGAAAAAGGACGATTTAGACGGAGAATGTTCTGGTCTTGATGTATTTCAAAGGATTTTGGGGAGGTTGAATGGGAAGGATGATGACATAAATGATGCATTAGATAGACAGAGAAAAGATAATATAATAAATGGAAAATGGGGTATGCATTTCATAAAGGGAGATACTCTTCAGAGTACCTGGGATTCAGAGACTAAGAAATTAATTTCTTACTCTGGTAAGGAGAGTTTAAAGAGAAAGCATAGTGACCTAGAAGATGAAGACGAACCAAAACATAAGAAGGAAAAGGTAGTCAAGTCAGAAAGCAAAGAAAAGAAAGATAAAAAGAGCAAGAAGAAAGAGAAGACAGATAAGAAGGAGAAGAAAGACAAAAACGAAAAGAAGCATAAAAAAGAGAAGAAGGTAAAGAAAGAAAAGAAGGAAAGAAAAGACAAAGAAGGAAAGAAGAAAAGAAAATCACTGGAAGAAACATCAGACTCATCTGAAATGCTGCGTAGCGTATCTCCAATATCGAGAACTCCGACGCCAATATCAACAAGGCTTGCTGTAAGATCAAAATGGATAAAACAGAAACGAGCCTCCGTGATGGATGCAAAAGCATTGAATGAGATCTTCATGGTGGCAAGCTGAATTGCTGCTTTTGAAATACAAAATTTACTGTAACATAGTTATATAGAATAATCAATAAACGAATAGGATGGTGTATGACGCATGGATTCATTGAGGAATAAAAAGGTAAACTGTTATATAGACATAATTCTTGGTGCAATGCACAACGCAGCTACTCCTCAGACTTTACTCTCCAGATCTAACAATAGAAGGAGTGGTAGAATGATGCATAAACAAGATTGGTATCTATCTTTGTCTAGAAATTTTTCACATATTTTCATATGGACTAGTCTATATTTAGAAAACTTTAGCATAACGCACTATGCATGCTGGCACGGGTGTTTGGGACACGAGGAAGATCCTTTACTAGTAATTTTGTTTAACCGGTTGTTCCAAGGTTTACCTGAAAATCGGGGTTATGGTTATTTTCTACACTTGTCTCGCTTAAACAATATCCAACGGGCAAACCAGAAAATTTCCGAAACAGGAAAATTAGTTGCTGCTTTTCCAGAAGTAGAAGTTTCATTTAATAATTTTGCAATTATAATTATTACAAGCTAACTTACATTTTTAATATATAACTATAATAGGAAAACAAAGGTGCATGTCCCTCGTTCAGAATAAGGGTCCTGATATTTTAATTGTTTGTTTCGTCTCCATACAAATGATATATAAATAACCCCAAAAGCCACCTTGATTGCAACTACTAGCATATAGTGGTTTTTTAGACCGTTTCCAAGAGACAAATACAAGATGAGATTCAATTTTGCCTCATTAACATTAGCCTTTGCTGCTATTACCTCGGTTTTTGCCGAAGCAATCACTCCAAGTCCCATTTCCTTAGCTCCAAGAGAAGAAGAAGCAGTCAGAAATGCTATTGCTAGTTTAGATCATTATACCTTATATCTCAAGAGAGATGAAATGGATCCTGCCGAATTAGCCAAGAGAGAAAATGCAATTGTCACCGAAGTTTTGACTGCAGTTAATAATACTCAATTAGCCCCAGGGGTTCTTCTTTATTTTATCAAAGATCCAACATTGAGTAAGATTGCCATCAACGTAATTGTGTATTCCATTAAGAATGACCTCATAAACTTCAACACGTTATTGAAGGCGTTGAATGATTCTGGTTTAGCTGTTGATGTTATTCAGAGTGTTATCAGTAACTGTCAATTCTATCGAGAAATTTATAAGTTAGTGTTGGAAGAACTTGCCAACTTACCTTCTATCATTGCGGGCATGTTACATCTTTCTTCTACAAAGGTTTCAACTGCCATGGCCAAGAGAGAAATAATGGTTCCAAGTGCACCGGTTCCAATTTATACCAGAGATACTCAAGATCTTGTTACTTCATTAATGGAATCCTTGAAGAATTCAGGATTAGCAAACCAAGTTGTTAATGCCTTGATTGTTGAAGATCAATTCTATACATTTGGTGCCGACTTGATCCAGCAATTGATACAAGAAGATGCTCTTGATTATAAAGTATTGCTTCAAGCCCTTTTACAATCAGGATTGATTGAAAGTATCTTCAAGGAATTCTTAAAAATTGATACTTTAAAAACAATTATGGTTAATGCTTTGGCTGCCGCATTCAACAAGTGTCAATCGACTCCAAATACTAGCGCGGTATCAACTACAAGCGGAACAGCAACGCCAGCAATTACCACAGGGGGGGCGACAGATCCTACTCCAACCCCAACGACTATTACCACAGGTGGAGGATCAAAACCGCCAACCACTACGACTCTTGCTGGAGGAGCAGTGGTTATTTGTAATTGGGTCAAAAAGACATAATTAGTTATGGTATTTTTATTAGATAGCAGTTAGTGTTTTTTTAAAAAAATAAAGCAGTTTTCAGTAGCATAACACGTAATACAATATCGATATTTATACTTCTATAGCAGTCTCATAGACGTGAATATTCTATTGGAAATCTCCTCTTCTATGATAGAACCAAACTGTGGAAAATATCTGGATCACGTGATTAATTTTCTTTTGGTGTGTGATTGAAAAATAATAAAAAAATAAACAAAACCTTCAAATTTATAAACAAATGTCAGATTTAGGAAGTTCTTTATTTATCCTAGAACAGTAATGCCAGGGTATGTATCTAATCTAGTATTTATAATATATTGAACCCCAAATTACTAACTAACCATTTTTTAGAGAAACTATAACTATCCAAGTTGGACAATGTGGAAATCAAGTAGGATTAGAATATTGGAATCAGTTAGCCAGTGAACATGGGATCAATCCCGATGGAACTGCAATTTCATATACGGACGCCATTGAAAATGAATATGAATTCCAACCAATAAATGGAAACACATTACATCCTCAACAATCACATCATCTTTCAAATTCCCAACAACAACAACTGGATCGAAAAGATCAACCGAATTTATTCTTTTCTTTGTCGGATTCAAATACATATACCCCTCGTGCCATATTAGTTGATTTAGATTTCCCGGTAGTTAAGAAATGTACCAATTCATTGCCGATGTTTAACCCTAGAAACATTCATTACAGTAATACCCCGGCGGGGAATATATGGCAAAGAGGGTATCGATATGGGACTCGACATGAAAGTGAGTTATTGGATTTAATTGATCGTGAGGTTGATAAATGTGATAATCTTGCTAATTTTCAATTGATTCATAGTGTAGCTGGTGGTACTGGATCTGGTGTAGGATCCAAACTTTTAGAATTATTAAGTGATCGATATGGTAATAAAAAAGTGCTTAGTACTTTCCTGGTTTTCCCATTAAATGAGAAATCATCAGATGTGGTGGTTCAACCATATAACACCGTTTTGACATTAAGAAGCTTGATAGAATATAGTCATGCTACTTTTGTGTTTGATAATGACGCATTGAGTAGTATTGATAATATTTCCTATGACTATAGTAAACGTGGATTTGAATCAATCAATAAGTTAATTGCATATGCAACTGCATCAATATCAAATCCAATGAGATTCCCTAGGTATATGTATACATCATTTGATTCAATTATTCCAGCACTAATACCTGTCCCCGATTTGAAGTTCTTGACTACATCAATTGTTCCAATGAGTCAACAGAAACATTCCTCCTTGAATGAATATGATATGATATTGGAACTATCCAATGATAAATACAAGTCAAACCGAGTTCCTGCCGATGTGCATTATTTATCGACATTAAATTATTTGATTGGAGATGATTTAAATCGACAAGAGATACAAAAGGGAATAGCAAAAGCACAACAAAGGACGCCATTTGTACCTTGGATGACTCGATCAGTTCATGTGATTGAATGTAAGCAATCTCCATTTATAAAGAGAAGTGGTGGCACCAATAGTAGGAATTTAGGAGGGATTCAAGTATCAAATAACACTTCAATTAGTGATGTCTTTACTAAATTGTTGGATCAATATGATAGATTCTTTAGACGTAAAGCTTACGTGAATAAATATGTGGAAAACAATTCTGCTGAAGAACAGTCAAGAATAATTGATATGTTCAATGAAGGTAGAGAGGCTGTTGCTGATGTTGTCCAAGAATATGATGCATGCAAACGACCTCTGTATTTGGACAATTCTGGAGAGGAAGAGGATCAATCGATGTATTAGTAGCTATATACGTAAGTTAATTAGATAATCCTAACAACGACTCGGTAATGTCTCTATAGGAGAATATTATTGTAGAATAAGAATGGGGGAAGACGGGTACTATCGCGAATTTTAAGCGTATTATTTTTTTACGCACCCTTTGTTTACTCTCATCTCATCTCATCACAAGATTTTTTTTTAGAAAGTTTAAACCCATTTCACTTGGATTAATATAGAGCTACATGGAAATCACATCATACTCATAATCCCATAAAAATCTTCACATATCTCCAATAATGATAGATCCTATTCCTTACGAATTTCCTGATTTTTTGAATTGTGATCCCATTGAAGATGTTGTTGGTATTCCCCAGCCCCTCGATAACAATAAACAAGATCAACAGCAACTATCATTAGATGAAGAAATTAAGCTTGCTATCATGACATTAGACGATGAGTCTCCCATTGGATCTATCCTGGAGGAGGAGAATTCCGAGTTTGATACACCTCAGACTATAGATACTGAACAAACCAATGAAACAGAAGAGATGCAACTACGAGGTGGAACCCCAGGGGTGCTGTCGAATGAGAAAGTCAACTTGAATACAATAACAAACATTAAAGAAGCGATGATTAATACTTCAAAATTATTATCATTGTATACTACTTTAAAGACTACATATCTTAAGTTATGTAAAGAGTTCAACTATCTATTGGGGAAATTTAATGAAAATGAAAAGATAAAGATTGAATTAATACATGAAAATAATGAATTAAGAAGATTATTATATGAATTAATAAAAGAACGAGAAATGGAAAGAAAAGATAGAACTAATTTGCATATTTAAAAGGTACAAGTTATACCGAGGTTAACTTCAATAGAAACCCGTTTGCATATAAAAATTTACCAACTCAGGGAGGTAGGGGAGTTGGAATCGGGTGAAGGATGGATGGTGGATGATGTCTAATGATTTATTTAATGACAATATTATTTATTTAATTATTCCTTTTGCATATTATAAATAAAATTTTATTTATTAACAATACCCGTAGTAATGTATTCTCTTTCTTGTCTCTTTAGCACCAACCAGTATTTTTTCTGGGTGGGTTCAGTGAAATTTGACAATTTTTCAGCAGACTTTGTTGATTTTACTTTGGTAGAAGAATAAATACAATAGAAGTACAATGCCAACCAAAGAAAGCACTTCATACAACATAGCACCTCATGGCGATGACGAAGGATATGACGAATATCAACAACAAGTTATCAATGAATTGAAATTAATATTACAAACTATCAAACTGATCAATACTAATCTTGTCAATTCTATTCAAATCCTCAATACTCGAGATAATAAGGGTAATATCGAATATAAAGCAATCGTCAAAGAAACCGTCGAAACTATCAACAGCATTGTAGATAAGTTGAAATATTGAATCCCCCAGGCAGCCACTCACTCCGTCCCAAACAACTTTCAAAAATGAACACGTCAACTACGTAATCGATACTACGCGACAAATAATAATAAATTGGTTGGCTAACAAAAAAAGTTTTTCAACCACATTAAAGTATATATTCCTTTGAAGCAGAAGATATATCCTACGATGAATGAACAAGATTCTAGACTAGTAGAGCAATATCAACAATCTAAATTAAATAATAAATCTCCCGATTCTGATGATAATCATTCAGAAGATGAGGATGATTTATTAGCAGAATTAGAAGAAGATGATTCGATAATACAAAAATATCGAGAATCAAGAATTGAACAATTATCAAAACAATTTAAACAAATTAATGAAACTATTAAAACTAATGATAATAATGAATTAGGTGAAATAATTTTTATTGAATCAGAAAAGAATTTAATGAATTTAATTATAAAACAAAAATATTCAATAATTTCATTTTATCAACCAAATTTTAGTAAATGTCAATTAATGAATTCAAAATTAAAATTATTATGTGAAAATCATTTAAATCTTAAAGTATTTGCAATTAAAGCTGAAAATGCTCCATTTTTAGTGGAGAAATTGAATATTAGAATATTACCATGTGTTATAATATATAAAGATGGGAAAGAATTAGATAGATTAATTGGATTTGAAAAATTAGGAAATGATCCAAATTCATTTAGTTATGATTCATTAGAAACTTATTTATATCGTTGGAATGTTATAACTAGAAAATCTATTAATAGAGTTATACGAAGTAAAGCAAATAATAATAATGACGATTCAGATGAATCAGATTTGGATCTTTAACAACATCACCCTATAGATAATACATGCCTTCAATTCATTTAGACAAAATTAGATTCCTATTCTTGGAATATGTAGCTAGTAACTTTTAATTAGCTCCCTCACTGAACCTGTTGAACTTTTTGCTTGATGAGTTAGAAGCTTCCTTGTCTCAAGAATGTGCATTCTTGCAAGTGACTTGTTAATGTATCATGCAGACTTATTTTACCATTGAATAAGAACTGTAAATTATCTGTCATCCATCTCGACAAAACAATATCGTTAACCATCGTTTCCATCTAAATTTCTTCTTTCCTGTTTCGCAATCACATGGATTACCAAATATCAAATGATTTAACTCGTCATCATCGAATAAATTGGTAGGCTTTGCATCATTTTGTAGTAGATTACTGTTATATAGATTTGGGTTTTGATTTAATTTTTCTCGGTGTTTTAAAACACTGTCACCTAACATAGTTTTATATAAAATGCAAACGGGGGGATAAGTAAATTGATTGGTGTCAACACTAGAAGGTAAGCAAGCCCAATTGTTTTTGAATGGTTGGAGTTTCTTTATATATATTAATTGATTGAAAATTATCTTTCTTTTCAATGATGTGTATGAATTGTTGTCCTTTCTTCTCAATTATTCATATATCCAACCATGATCATGAAATGCAAACGTGTATGTTTATTGTGAAAAGTCTAGTATCAAGATTCTTGCCTATGAGCACTTTTTTTTAAATTTAGATATACAGCACTCACGCTGGTGGAAATGAATACTTCGGGATTATAGGGGTTTTTATTTTTTCTCAGTTGTATGCTGGTGTTTTTTGAGTGCTCGGCTTTTATTAAAAAATATCCCCCATTTTTTGGGGATGGTTCCAGCGAAACCATCACCTCATTATGCGTACTATATTCCTCGTTATGAAAATCTACAGAGAAATGTTTCTTCATTTGAATTTAGTACAATGTTGTAATCAAGATGACCGGATCAGTTCTCAGACTTATGGCTTATATTTAAAATACTCACTCCTTCCCATGATCCGGTTTGGTCACGTGACCGTGTTTCGAACAATTGTATGCCAAAGGAGTACTACGAGATAGAGACAGCAGCGTCTACGAACTACTAATGAATCCTGTTAGTTTATTGAGTAACTTAGTTGTCCCAGGAATGTAATTAATGATATATATTTCTGATTAATGCAAAGCAGTATTGAAACTGCTTTTGGCAAACTTTAATAATTTTATTCGCAGCATTTTTAATTGGGTGCAAAATTTTGTTAGAACTTTCAGACAAAAAGTTACATAATTTTGTCATCAACTTTTATTGACATCTTTCCAACATTACAACAGGATATTATACTTCTAACTCACGCGAGACATATTGGAGATCCCAGTAATGATATTTAAGACAACATCCACCTAATACATAAAGGTAGATTATTGTCTGGATTTCCAAACTTCACTATTTTCAATTCTGAGCACGTCAATGGGATCCCCCCTTAAGCAAAGATGTTAATTGTTCTTCCAAGTTTAGTACAGGGAATGAGTATATATAATAACAAAATGCATAATTCATTATATAACACGGATTCTACAAAAAGGGGTATTCTAAAAATATATTATAATCTAGCAAGAATTGAAATAGTAGGAAGGGGGGGAAGAAAGAAATGGCTACTAATTAGAGACTATAGTAAAATTATTCTTTCTAATCAAACTCAATTTAGATTCATTCTTACCAACAGACAAGGATCGCGTATGCTTTCTAATTATATTATTTCTAACTGTACTTGACAATCTTTGTTGTTGTTTTTTAATCAAATATAACTCCGTTTCATCGATATCATTATCTTCATCCTCATCAAATGGACATTCATCTAAACTCTTACGATTAGAAACTACTAAATACTTATCTCTATTACGTCTAGATGGTGTTACAAAACTTGGAAGGTTCAGCTTTTTATGTAATGATTTGAATTCATTATTGAAATTTGGAGGATGATATAATTGAGTTAATTGACGAGGAATTGATGAGTTAGCAAATGAAACAAACCCGGGGAATTCATTGATACTTAATGGTGCTAATGGTTTTCTAATTGCCTGAAATCTACTTATTTCATGTTTCTTTGGTTGTAATATGTTTTCTTGATCATGATTATTTTGTTTGTTTGAAATAGGTTCTTCATCATCCTCGATTGTTTCAGTTCTATCTTCTTGATTAGGTTGATCTTCCCATATTGAGAATGTTAACTTTGGTTGTTTCCTTACTGGAGAAGCAGAACTGGATTGTGATTTAGAAGGTGATAATTTTGAAAGAATTATTGGTTTCTTAGTGGAATTGAATGGGGATGATTTAATGTTGAAAGATTTAGAGGATAAAGCCTTTCTTTTGGTTGGAGAAGAAGGAATTGATGACATTGTAGTAGTTGGGTATGTGTATGCAAAGCGAATGAATTATTTTTAATAAATATAGGGATCCTCAAAGGGGATAAGCTAGATTTGATTGATAAAGCTAAATCTGATAAATTGGAAAAACGAAATACTCGTCTATGTTTATATAAGAATTGAAAAAAAGTAGAGAAAACACGCTAAATGAATTCCATATACACTTTTGTATAACAAATTCCTAGTCGTTCCGTTCCTCTTCCTGGAAGTAACGTATAAATAAAAATCCCTTTGACAACTTCAAATGGAACAATAACAATAAACAATCAACAATGCAAAAAAAAATACATCCAAGAAAAAGCGAAGACGCGTTTTTAAAGAATACGAGTCAAATTGGTAGCGGTACCACGATATTGACTTAGATAAATAACAGATTATCAAGAAGCAGTGATGTTAGTTGTTTAGATATTTACACGTGTAATCAATAGATTCTCTTAAGTAATGCAATTTCCCGATATATAGAATGAACTTATGATAATATATATGTTGGGATGGAATTACCTTGAGAATAACCACCCCCTTTCACCCCCCCTCCCTTTCAAATCTATTTTTTCCGTTTTTAACGGTCAAGCAGTTTCACCATACTAAATTATCCATTGAATATTCTTACTTAAACGAAAGCAGGAGTTGCACAGTCTATAATGGGAAAACAAATCAAGAGAATCTCATAAGAATTAATACATTTGTCAATTATATTAAGATTTCACCAATTTTGATCCTGTATTGAAAATGCCAAGATGTTCAAGTCCCCTTTGTCCCTTCCAAATGGGAGTTAATTAGTATTTCTTGACCAACGAAATTTTGTCACCCATACGGGATTAATTAGGATGTCTCAATTATCCACCCAAGAGAAAACCAAGCATCAAAATCCAATTGCAGTCTCGTGAATTGACCTGAAAGCGACGTGTGTATCGGCCAAGAAGTGAGTAGAAAGTTCGTCTGGACAATGAATAATATGTCACAGAGAAATGATTCAAAGCTTTCTCCACAACATGAACGAATGCCTCTGTCAGATTTTAATCAGAAGCTGTACACGCTTTTGTTGAAGAAATTACCATTAGTAGTTGCTCGATACAATGATTACATACCAATTCGGAGAGGATTTAAAGAGACTCAAGCTTTTACTCGAATGAAGCATGTCTGGCCGGCCCCGGTTTTTCGCGTTCAATTACCGAATTCGGCTTAATTGGCTGTAGCCGAAAAATTTAAAAATTTCTAGATCCATACGGCATCAACTATAAATTGACCCCCTCAAAAAAAAACTCTCTTGTCGGTGTTATTTAAATAGATTTAGAGATCTGCCAGATAAGAACAAATAATTACAAGGTATACTATCCGTTCTTTCTACGATGACCAAACCACAAGTTTTATTTATTGGAGAACTTAATCAAGCTATCCCCCAATTTCAACACTTCCAAAAAAAATACGAAGTTATTTTCACTAGTTTAACCACACGTGAAGAATTCGTAGAAAAGTTGAAAACTGAATACAAAGACATCGTCGCCATTTATGCTGCCTGGTTGGGATTCTTGCCTATTGGCGGATTTAGAACTGTCATTGAACATGCTCCAAAGTCTTTAAAAGTCGTGGCATTTTGTTCAGTTGGTTATGATCATGAAGATGCAGCCATTATGAAAGATCATGGAATCATTATGACCAATGTTCCTTCTGACGGAGCTGCTGGCCCAGTTGCGGATTTGGTCTTGTACAATACGATAACAAGTTTCAGACAGTTTCAAATGTATAACAATTCCTTGAAGGAAATAAAGCATACGATTAGTATCAGAGATCAATTCAGTGATAAAGGGGAATTTGATAAGATTAATGGAAAGCCAACTAGAACAGGTAACGGTATGGGTTATAATTTTGGTCATTATATTAATAATAGACCATGCTTATCTCCAAACGGACGTCATGTCAGTATTGTTGGATTTGGAAAGATTGGACAAACTATTGGGAAAAGGTTGGCCGATATCGGAATGAATGTGACATACATTAAAAGAAATAAACTTTCATCAGAAGAAGAATCTAAGTTAGGTTATGAAGTTACCTATGCTCATAAGATTGAAGAAGTCCCACAGATAGATTTAATAGTAATTGCTTGCCCAGCAACTCCAGAAACTAATCATTTAATAAATGCAAACATCATAAACTCACTTCGAAACCCATTCAGAATCATCAATATTGGAAGAGGTACGGTTATTGAAGAACAGGCATTAGTTGATGGGTTAAAGTCAGGTAAGGTATTATTTGCCGGATTGGATGTCTTTGAAATGGAACCAAAAATCCATCCAGAATTGTTGGACCGTGAAGATGTGGTATTAACTCCACATATTGGTGCTTCAACTGTGGAAAATTTTGATTATACTGCTACTCGTGCCTTGGAAAATATCGAAAGTATCATTGAGGGTGGTGAAGGATTAACTAGAGTCAATTAAATAGTACAAGCTCATGGTCGTTTTAGACAAAAAATGAATTTATTTTCTTGAATATCATTCTTCTCTACTATTATTTGACTTCGTCCCGTAGGATGAATACGTCACTAGTAATTTTCGTCTACTTGCATATCCTCTACAAATAGATCAGGTAATAGAGGAAATGGTCTCGATGAAACCAAACGTCGGCGAAGGTTTCGGAAACTCTATCGACTTTCAAAGCAACTCCCAAATGTATAACATATGCTAATTTTGGAAAACTTGCAATGTCAATTTCTTTATAAAATTGCTTTGCTTCATATGTACTCCGCCGAAGAATGTAGCTTGGATCAAACTCACATTTAATAAATCTTAAAGAATTGCGGTGGTGATTCAAAGCAGGCCAAAGTTCTATGACTGAGGCATTCGGAATAGTAAGGCTCGTTAAGGAGTTAGGAACTAAATGCCGGGCAAAAGTCACCATTATCTGAGTATCCTCCTTAATTGTCAATTCCCGAAGGCTTACGAACTGAGGGGCCAAAGGTACGATGCCAATCACGGCATCTCAAGATTCAAGGAAGTAATTCTGCCGATGTCAAAGCATTCAAAGAAACTCTCCATATCGAATCTCTCAGAACGACGAATTCTTATTCTTGTAGCAGATACCCATGGTAATTCATCATCTTCCCTTAAATCGTGGATGCAAAGATGTTTTAAGTTAGGATACCTACTTAATTCATATTTCAAATTTATCTTATCCGAATTGGTAATTGTTAAATTTCTAACGTGAATTCGTTCATCTAACCCCATATATTGACGTGTGGAAGTGGATATATGATGAACTTTCACCCGAGAAGGATCTTTCTGTTGAAGAATCCAACGCTGAACTTCGGGTTTGGAAATTCTATACATTGAAAACATGCACAGTTTAAGTTTGGAGGAAATAAGGTCCAAAAGAGAGATATCCAAGGTTTCATCGTTCTGAAAGCACACTTGTTTGCACTCGGGAGTAAAGTTACTTCCCAAAAACTTATCTAAGAACCGTTGCAAGCCAATATGAGTGAAATTAGTGTAGTGGCTGCCATAATAATTCCCTGGAATGGAAGCCCACCCTTTGTTGTAGACATTTAATACCTTAAACAACCTTAGACGGGTCACCTTCTTGAAACTTTTGCAGGTCAAGCTTAACCGAATGGCGTCAACCTGGTTTAAGTAACTCAAAATCTCAAGTAAAAGTTCGTCTGGGAGTCTGATGAGCGGAAATTCAATCATGCCCCGAGCTCTTTGTTTTGGAAACGACATCATCAATCGAACTCATTACCGTAAAGAAAGCAGTGACCGTGTATAGGAGTTGTCACTTGTACCTAACAAAAACAACAAGGGATAACTCTCAAGAACATCCTCTGCCCCCCCTCAAATTAAGCTTTTGCTGGTTTTACCTGTATGAGACGAATAAGATTCTCTGAATGAATTGTAACATAGTTCTCTCCTCGTTTGTTACTACTTACACAATCCGTGGTAAATCCATTAAAACTATAACGACATAAATAAAATTCTATTTAATTTTTGTCTTCACATGCGGACCCATGCACACGAAAACCTTGTTGAATCGCTAGTTTCAACCAAGAAATGGTAATTTTTGCCGTTCCATCACTCAACAAGAAGTGAATCTTGTTCCTCTCATACATATATGGGTATTCTCGGATTTCAGATCAATTGGTCAATTATTTTGTTCAAGAATATCTGCGCAACTAGTTGAGAGGACAAAAACAAAATAATCTTGCATTTGCAGCCATATTCCCAAGTCAAAAAAATAATTATTGGGTAGTCTTGACAATTTAACTCATTTAAATAGCTTCTCATTCAGAAACTGCAAACAAATCTTCAATAAACTTACTAGGCCAGTTGATGTAACCAATGGATAGCTGGTCTCACGGAGGTGATGTACAACCTCATTGAATGCTTGATGACAAGACTCAATTATCAAATGTTAAGGGTTAATGAAACAACGTTGTCTAATCGCATATATACACTACATGCAGTACAGTCAATATGGGTATTCTTCTGGATGAAACCAAACCTTTGCAAATGCATCTCTTTTCTTGTTCACCCTTAGAGCAACTCCCAAGTGAATAGCCCATTCCAATTTTGGAAATCTTTCAAAGTCCAGTATCAATCTATAAAAGATCTTTTTTGCTTCATACGGGTTCTTCCGAATAATGTAGCTTGGATCAAAGTCACATTTAATAAATCGTAATGATCCACAGTGGTGATTCAATGCTGGCCGTGTGTCTATCTCAGGATTACTCGGAATGGAAATGCTTGTTAAGGAATTAGCAATTAAGCAGGAAGCAAAAATTACCATTACCTCGGTGTCTTCCTTGATTGTCAATTCACGAAGACTTACGAATTCTGGCGCCAAAGGTACAATACCAAGCAGAGCATTCTCTAGATTCAAAGAAGTAATTCTGGTGACGTCAAAACATTGAAAGAATCTCACCTTATTGAATTTCTCGGAACGTGCAATTCTTATTTTTGTAGCAGATATTTGGGGCAAATGATCATCTACCCTTAGATTATGGATGCAAAGATATTTCAAGTTAGGATATCTACTCAATTCATACGCCAAATTTATGTTATCAGAATTCGAAATTGTTAAATCTCTAACATGAATTCGTTCGTGTCGATTAAGAATGGGACTAGATACACGAGGCTCTTTATATTCACGCGTGGAACTCGATATATGATGTACCGGTACTCGAGACGGATCTTTCTGTAGTAGGATCCAACGCTGAACATCCGATTTTGAATTTCTATACATGGAAAACATACACAGCTTAAGCTTCGAGGAAATAAGATCCAACTGGGAAACGTCCAAGAGTTCGTCATTCTGAAAGTACACTTGCTTGCAATCGGGAATGAAGCTACCTTCTTTCAACTTTTTTAGGAATCGCTCCAAGCCAATATGAGTGAAATTAGTATATTGCTTTACATAGTAGCACTTTGGGATGAAAGCCTTTCCTTTGTTATATACATTAAGCACTCTAAACAATTTTGTACGGGTTACCTCCTTGAATCTTTTACAAGTCAAGCTCAACAGAATGGCATCAACCTGATTCAAGTAACCCAAAATCTCAAGTAATAGTTCGTTTGGTAGCTTGATGAGGGGGAATTTAATATTGCCCCGAGCTCTTTGTTTAGGAGACGGCATCATCAATAGAATTCATTACTGTAAAAGACATTGATCCGGCAAATTGTCACTTGTTCCTAACAAAATAAGGAGCAACTCTTATATAGCATTCTTTCCCCTCCTCACAATTAAGCTTTTCCATATAAATATATGTATAGGAATAGAAGAAGCTTATTACCCCTTTATCACTACATATGCAACCCAACCTTGGAAGCTGCATTAAGACAATAAGGGAGTGGTCGAAAAATCGCTGTTCTGGAGGAGCCTGAGCTCTGTTCGCGGTAGACAACGAATGTGCTGGTTGATCGACTTCTCAGCTAATCAAACTAAAATTATAAACTGAAATTATAAACTAAAATATATAAACTGATACTGACCCTCTGATACATATGGGGCATGACGTTCTGTAGACATGGCAAAACCCTTTTATAGGCACTTAAGTTAATGACAGAAGAAACGTAAGTAGTGTGTCAGAGTCCAAGACCAGCAGAACTGGGTTGTATACTCACTAAAAACCATTGGTACGAGGTGGCTGGGGGGGATGAGGCGTAAATGAGTTAGGATGGGGCTACGCATTGGATAACGCTAGGTGGAGATGAACTTGGAGTATTTCGTAATTAAAGAATTAATTAGTAGGAAGTCATGTGACCAGGCTTTTCCCAATAGTGAAGTCTGGTATTCTTTTTGAAAGATCTATTCCTTGACTGAGCTTCTGTATTTCGAAGAGTAATTTTGCCTAATATCCTGCGGTGTAAAGTTGATGATGAACCACGCTTCAAGCCTTGAAAGTATTAGAGGGGACATTAAAATTGTGAAGGTCGAGGAAAGTAGGGAAAATGGGGTTCTAGAGTGTCTTTGGATAAATAGCTGCCGTTTTTATCTAGAATCTCGTGAGACTCTCTTCTGACTTTGAAATGATTTACTATCGGGATAATAATCAGTACCAGAGAAAGACCACGAAATCCCCTTGGCGAAGTCACGAGCAAGGGACAACGCTTTGGGATGCTGTCCAAAGTTGACAGTTTGTTAGATATGAAAGGTATCAATCTTAGTATATATCATCATCTATTCTTCTCGAACCAAAATCTACTTGTTATATACATCATCTCTAATATT